ACATACTATAAAAATATTTTTCTTAGTGAGCTGTAATTGCTAATCATTTTCATTATAAATAGTTTTCCGTTGAATGGATTGAACAATTCTTAAATAACACTTACAATTTCTATCGGTGGCGTGGTGGTTGCTATCTAAATTTAGGTTTAGTTGTTGATTTGCACGTACACAATTTACACAGAGGCCTATCAATTAAGAATTATGCACAAAGAACCGAGCGAGGCTTAAGTGCCGTGGAGCAACCCACCCTCTGCATATTATAAAAACAGATATGAAGTTCCATATATGGTATTCTTCCTAATTAAAATTATTAAGGGGTTCAGGAATTAGAAGAAAGAGTGTTGACAAATTAAAGGCGTATTTTAATTAAATATCTACCCGTTCAGCTTTTAAAATATACTAAATTCTACCAAATAACGAGCGAACTGTTTTCAGTGGCATTGTATAATCTTGATGTAAATTTTAGTACTTCAAAGCTATGTGAATTTGTTTTTTCCCTGGCCTTTTATCATCCGCTTTAACATCAAATACACTGGGATATTGCCCACAAAATATTGATTAAGCGTCTTTTTATAGATCATGCCAAATAAAGAAATAGAAATGTAAGACACGTACACCAGTAAGTTTTATTTATTGCTTCCAATGTTCCGTTTGTGCACTGCATCGGCCCTCAAGGAAGAATTATTTTTCACGATCGTCTTGGGCATTTATTGGAATTCCGACGTTAGTATTAATAAAAACATGTTTTATTCTTGGTTATTGTAGAATTTTACCTGTGTTTTAAAAATTAAATTGATGGTTTCTATAAGTGTGGGTGTGAGTTGATATTCGGTATTGTATGTTTTTATTTGTCTAATTTATTATTTATTCCGACTTTTTTTCGAAATAACAAACTTCCTCTTTTAGAATTGTCTCAGTAGAAATTATAAACAAATAAATTTCAAAATCAATACAAAGGTATAAATCACACTACCCTACAAACAGATAAGCAGGGGCGTACACAAAACCCGCCTCCACAGTTCATAATAATGTTATTTCTATCTCAAGCGATTTTTAAACTTGAGCGAACGATAAAACTTTAAATTACGTCATGTTTGCCGGCACTACGATGTTTGTGGACTGTTCGATTTAATCAATTTAACAATGTTGGTATGTCTGTCGAAAAAAATGTTACACAACCTGCGGGCGGGTGAGATATGCTGTTTTATAAATTATATTGTAATAGTCAATATACAAGTATTTCTAAATAATCAGTTTGTTAAAAAAGACAAAAGTTTTTAAAGTAAAATTATTTGTAATTTGAAATGTTTACGTCATCGGGAATAGACCAAACAGCTTGTGTCGAAGTTTTGTTTGTTATACAGAACCAAGCCAACGAACAAACCGACAGAATGTCGAAGTAAACGCACATCTTAGTGACACTTAAAAATTGACACCACCTAACCTAACATTCTTTGTTGTTTTGTTTACCTTCTTCTCTCGATTCTCGATTTATTTCTTTTGTCTTTGCTAATTGGTTATTATTTGCCGTGGCGCTCCGGGGTGACTTAAAGATGATTTATGGTGCCATTTGACTTACAGGTGAGGAAAACCCGGAAAACCTCACCCACCATCATAATATATTAGCATACATTGATATCCACAAATATAACACCAGAAATTGGGACGATATATCTGTACCTTAAAGCAACAAGGGCCAATCTCTAATTTGAGCAAGAGAACGACTTTTAAAGCTGTGCTTAGAAATAGCAATTTTTTTATTGTAAAAACGAATTAAATCAAAACTAACTAGCATGTAAAACTATTTATGCACAAGTATATTTACTGTAATACTATTTTTATTTGGTCGAGGATTACCTACTTGCTACCTGTCATTGTAAATAATTGTAATTTAAAGACATTTTTGTATATAAATAACTACTTTTTGTAAATATACAAACTCTTTCTGTTACTGACAAGGGGGGTAGCCATGTGTGAGTTGAGGTAATTTTAAGGTGAAGGGGGAGAAAAAGTCCTTTATATCTCACAAGGAAAGTCAATGTTTAATTATTTAACGAAACATTGAGTGCGACCGGTTTCGAAGTGTCATCACTTCATCTTCAGGCTCGCCTAGTGGAAAGGAGAATATGTGGTGTAAGGTGTAACTTGGAGCAAACGATATATAAAATAGTAAAAAAGAGAAAACTCACCATACTCTCCATCCACTAGGGAATACTACAAAACAAGTTTCATCAAATGTGGGGTGAAATAAATTGAAAAATGAACAAAGTTTACAAGTAATAAAAAGTTAAAAATATTTGAAAAAACAAATATTAGTCAATTGAAATAGTAAAAATTTAAGATATTCAAGGCCATACAAAACAAATCACATACATTAAACAGATTAAAAGATAAGGCTTATTTTAAACAACCTTGTTGTTTTTTCAAAAAACTAACATTTTTGAAAGGAGACCTGACAAGTTAAGGCCTCTACAGGTGGTGGCAAGTATTAACAAAAAAATTCTTGGGTAAACCCATGACAGGGTATAGGTAATAAGATGTAAACCATGAGTGAAGAAATATTTATTATTTATTATATAAGATTTGGGCCATGAACCAATCACCAAGTGTATGTGATGTTGTAGGAAGAAGAAAGAAGAAGAAATGACTGGGTTAACTGTTGTGAAGCAACTGAAGAATAAAAGAAGAAAAGAAGAAAATGACGGATGTGAATATCACACAATCTAACCTAATCTTTAAACATGCTCGTTGGTTTCTTGTGGGAAAAAAATTACTTACTGAAATGTACCCCTTGCAAGAAAATATGTGAATAGAAATAAAGGGGGAGGTTAAAAAGGAAGTTAGAACGATAAATTTAGATTAGTGTTGAGAAAACAGGAGGAGTTTCTGACATTATCTGGGCATTTAAGCAACCAACAGGATTTAATTTTAAATTTCTCAATATCTCGAGGCTTTTTACAATTTATTTCACCCCACATTTGATCAAACTTGTTTTGTAGTATTCCCTAGTGGATGGAGAGTATGGTGAGTTTTCTCTTTTTTACTATTTTATATATCGTTTGCTCCAAGTTAACACACCTTACACCACATATTCTCCTTTCCACTAGGCGAGCCTGAAGATGAAGTGATGACACTTCGAAACCGGTCGCACTCAATGTTTTGTTAAATAATTAAACATTGACTTTCCTTGTGAGATATAAAGGACCTTTTCTCCCCCTTCACCTTAAAATCTTTCTGTTACAACTATTATAAGTATTTAAATGAATAAATCTAAGATAATATTGCTAAATAGAAAGAAAAAAAAACAAATATGTTTATATTTTATGAAATAACTTGGAACAAAATTGAAAAAATAGGAATCCATGAAAATATACTCTTGAAAATACTAAAAAATCATCACTTCATTAAATATTTTAATATTTTTAGATCTGTCAAGCAAGTATATGGAGATAATGCGATTTTCCATAAATAACTTGAGAAAAGGAGATATTTGCATAGATAACAAAATAATAATTACACATGAACATAAAGTATTTTGCATTGTTTCTCCCACATTTGAAGTAAATAATAAAGTAGATAAGTTGAATTTGGAGGAAATTTTAATTTGTGCAACTGCATTATTGTTAGGGCTTGTATATATTATATATTAAGGTTATAGTGGCTCCATAAAGCCCACGAGACTGAAAATATAACTTCAAACCCTTCGAATATCGTGAAATTTCAGATTTAATCGATGTTACTGAACCTCTTTGCAGAACCGCAATTTTAGTTTATGTATAAATTAACACATTACTAAACCCACGACATTGCCAGACTTATCAGCAGGCTTGTGCTTGTTAAAACGGTTCGAATTATTTTCAAATGCACTTCCCTGCAGCATTATATTCCTTATGAAGTTATTTATCTAACGATGCCAACATTTTAACATATTATACATATTATATAGGGTAATTTATCGATAGCTGTTTTATTATAGCATATATGAAGACAGTTTTAATACGACTCTATTTTACAATTATTCTTAAATATACAGGGTAGTCCATAAATGGGGAGCAAGTCAAACTTGTACTTATTTAAACCAAACACCATGTAGGTAGTTACGCATAACAGATTTGGTTGTTTTCTCATCGTTAAACAATTTTAATAGACTAAAAATGTTCGTCTCGTCTTGTGCACACCACTAGTCGCCTTTGCAGATAAAAATCGCAAAAAAGTGGAGGGCGCAATAAAATCACAGCACAGACAAAAAGCGCAAAAGTTTTTGCGTCTAATCTTTATTGTATAAACAAACTGATGCGTTATATGTTGCATTAATAGTTTTTAAAACAATATAATATATAAAACGTACATAGAATCGATTAAAATAATATTAAAATGATACTTCCAGTGACATCTTTGCAAGCGATGTAGAAGCACTGAAATATCGATTTGGATTTAGGCAGTTTTCTCGCTAGAGCGTAAAATATTTTGAGACGATGTTAATAGAGGATAGGCTCAGTTAAAATATACGTATTTATTTATAAAAAAGGTTGATGATATCGAATTAACGGGTTTGCTATTTTTTAGCAGCTTCGTCAAGATAATATTACAATGAATAATTAGATAATCGACACAAAATTCATTAAATAAAAATGAACTTATAGATATAGAGTTGTCTATTTCTAGTGAACCTGTGTTTATTATTGATATTATTTATGAGTCCAGAAGCTTGTCATAGCTGATAGATAGCCGTGAAACAATAATAATACATTGAGTATGAAGGTATGAAGAAATGTCCTTTATTTCTCAAAAAGTCAATTTATTGGCGACTGGTTTTGAAGTGATTACGTCATCATGAGGCACACCTAAATGGACTGTCATAGAGTCAATGTATTATTATAAAAGAGGAAAAAAATATTTAATACAAAAATAAATCCCAATCACATATGTCTACCCCCACCCTTAATCATACTGCCACTGCAGCAACTTCAGCCAGTAGCTACAAGTAAAAAAAAATTAAAGTTAACTGAAAGATTTATTTCTAACAAAAAGAAAAGGTATATATTAAAGTTGAATTCCTTGAATAAGATAGGAACAAAAATATCTTTATTTTAGAAAAACATTACATTAGATATGACCGTAAGCTTCATACGGAGGTTCCATGTATTTATCAAGAATACTACTAATTTCTCTATACTGCCTCAAGTTTTGCCTTATTTCAAAAGTACTATTAATGTTCAAATATTCCAGTGTATCGGGTTTAGCCTTTGGCCAAGTGATGTTAAATAGAAATTCGTCTTTTTCTGGTGTTGGATTCCTAAAAATAAAAAACAATAATATTAATGATAAAATATTATACGATTTAATGTTCACAACAAATCTAACAAAAAACCTCTCCGAAAACTTAAAAAACAGTGCATTATTTAATATTGCTGCGTTTGTATATCCACATCGAATGCACCTGAGATGTTGTAAATCTTTGATCACGTGATTCAATATACAGTTCATCAAATTTCTAGAGGTGTTCGACGCCCAGAGAACGCGCTACGTGTGACTAAGATAGCTATTGTACAGTCTGCTAAACAAGTTATTTTAAATAGTTTTTAATATTTTTAGGTAATTAAATTTTAAAAGTGTGGAATAGTTTAGGGATTAAATTGGTCTGATTGGACTTTCTTAGAACGTTTTTAAAAGCAGCTACAGATAGTATGTAGAATTGAAAATAATTATTATGCCATAAAAGGTGTTTTGGAATTCCTTCAACCTTTTGAAATTGAGTCAGAAAATATAAATTTTATAGGATAGCAGAAAATACCTATAATTTTTTTGTAGGCCTTTGTAAATCGTGGAAATAGTTTATATTTTATTTCTACCTTATTAAGGAAAATGGTACCTATTATTAATAACGGTTGTTTCTGAAACATTACTAAAATTTTCGAAATTTTGTTTTTCTACAAAATAATAAACTATACTATTTAGAAAAAAATTTATTTCTCTTATAATTTTATAAAAAATAAAAGGGGAATATTTACATTTCTTGATCTATTAAACAAAACGATAAATTATCTCGACGAATGACACCATGTTCTAGTACGGAAGCTAGCTTTACATTTTTGTTGGTGGTTTCATGGGTTTCATATCAATTTTTTGTAATTGTAGTTTACACGTACATATACCTCTTAACACTTGTTTGCTTTATTAAAAAAGTGTGTTGTTGTGATTTACGTCGAAATAAGTCAAAAACAACTTTAAACCCCATATAAAATCAAAAAGGAGAAACGGAAAAAAATTGAGCCTGTAAATGAACACAACTCAGAAACAAAAATAGCTATCTAATAATAAAAAAATAAAATTTGATTCTTGTGCATCTTCGTTGTAAAAATAGATAATACTTTTTTGATCTTAGGTACAGATATAATTTTAATGGTCTTCCGAAAAACTTTCTTCAGTTTCCATATCAGATTCAAAATCAGTGTCACTGTCACTGTTTAAGTTAATTATAAATCTATCAGTTGCCTCATCCAAAGTAACTTCTCTGTCATAAAATTTAGATGCCCACATTTTAGCATTATTACAACGAGATTGCCACTCCTCTTTAGAAAACGTATCAAAAAAGTCTTCACACAACAGTTGTACGTCTTGCCTCTTAAATGTAGTGTTGTTACTAGCTACATATTGTTTCAATGATGCCCACACTAATTCGATCGGATTAAGATCGGGAGAAACGGTGGCAAACGCAAACAACTAAAACCATGTTCATTTATCATTTCTTCAATTGCATACCTCTTAAATCGTGACTTATGCAATAGCACTAAACTGTATAATTGCGTTTTGAGCATATCCCCTTCGTAAGCAATATTATGATTCCTTAACCAATCCTGCATGTCAGCTTTTTTAGAAGTTGACGTTGGTGCTTTATTTACCTGGACATTATGGTAAGGAGCATTATCAACAATAATGACGCTTCTTGGAGGGAGGTTCGGAAACAGCTTTTCTTTCAACCATTTAAAAAAATTATTAAAATTCATTTCATCGTGGTAGTCTCCACTTTTGGTTCCAGATTTGAAAATTAACCGGGCATTCGGAATAAAGCCCATTTCACCTCCTGCATGGACAATAATTAGTCTATCACCTTTAATAATTGGTTTCTTTAATCCCTCATTTGAATTATCACTCCAAGCTTTCTGTTGTGTGTGGGAGGCATGAATGTATGTTTCATCTAAGTAGACAATTGGACGGCCCTCTGCTCGATAACTTTTTAAACGAATCAAATAGTCTAAACGTAGCTTTTGAATATCAAACCTTTCCATTAATATTTTTTTGTTTGTTTTTGTTTTCCGCCAACGAAATCCTAGCGACTTTATTATTTTTCTTAAACTTTCATAGCTTCCTTTGTACCCTGTAGCTTCTCTAAATTTAGTCAGAATTGTTTTTAATGTTGGAACAATATTTTCCGAGATTAACATGAACAGAATAATTCTTTTTAAAATACCTTTGTCAGCTTCATCTATATCATTAACTGTTTTTGGTTTTTTAATGGTTTTTCTTGGTGATGAAAATTCCGATATCTCACGGTTATCGATTCTTTTTTTCTCTCCAGAAATGCGGACGACAGTGTTTTTAGATACTCCTGTGGCTGCAGCAACACGATCATTTACATTTTTAAATGGTATTGAAGGTGAATTAAAGTTTCCTTCTCTTCTCATAAACTCTATAACATTGGCTATTTTTTCGCGAGATTGACTGTTAATCACGCGGCCTCTTAATTTGCTATTAAACTCCATACTTAGGTTCTATTAAACTGTAATGAGCAAAAAACACAAACGAAAATAAAAGAAATGTTTTAGCGAAATTTACATCTGACATTTACGTCTGAATAAAATAGTGAAATAATTGATGCGCAGAGTGTACTTTCATTGCGTAAATCCGTCGGCCCCGCCAACCGATGCCTCTCAGTAGTACTTTCTCTGTCTAGCCGTCGAAAGCCTCTAGAAATTTGATGAACTGTACGTAAATATAGTAGGACAGATGTGTCCGGTGTGGATAAACAAACGCTTGAGATGTAAAAAATGTATCGGATGTGAATATTCAGACGTAGCAAATATTTCCAAACAAATTTTCTCAAAAATTTGCACGGTAAGGTAAAATTAAAAGTTCACTATTAGATAAATAAGGACTTCAACTATTAGAAAAAAAATTAATTTTAGTCATAATCTAATATTTTTTATAAAACATTGGTGGCGAAAGGGGTCGCGAAAGGACCTCCTTATGAATTAATAACATATCCAGAATTGGATAACTCAGGCAATCATACTTCACAAACAATGCAAAAAAACATACTGAGTAGAAAAACTTACAGATACTTAACAAAGTTTGTCCATAATCTGACCATTCTCCATAATGTTCTTTGATCTTCTTCTGGAAATAGGCTCAAATCGTTATTATTTAAAAATTCCCAATAATAATGTAATTCTTCCATGTGTCCCACTCTTTCAGCTCCTATATAAATAAAACAACTTTTGTTTCTTTTATTATGTTTTTGTAATTGCTTATTTATATACATTCTTCATGCAATAAGGGACTATTATTACTTCCAAGGAAAACGCTACACCATGATCTCAATATTCCGTTCATAAATGAAGCAATCGAGAAGCAATCAAAAACAAAGCGGACCATTAGTAAAATAAGAGACAATAGCCAGATCAGTGATTATAAATTTTGAAGTTATCCCATTTTAAATATACAAATACTTGAATAATTTATATTGTTTATTTATAACTGATTGTTCTTTATTTTAAAATTCCTCTTTGGGATAATTAAATAATTATATTTAACACATTTAATAACCGTTTTTAATATTAATGTTAATATCAATAATAAATAATCATACCTTCCAGCATACTTTCAGGTTTGTAATTTGCTCCCATCTTACCCCAGTATGAAAATTGATATACATAGTGTGGAGCGTAATCTGCAGCTAATTCCACTTGCTTTCCAGTTGGAGTTGAGAAATCTATATCAGTAGCCCACTAAAAGTTAGAAAACATAAATTACTTTAAGCTACAATAAAAATTTAATGGATGCTAAATTTGGCCTGAACAATCATTGGGGCTAAAATAACAGTTCAAAATAAATATTCTTTAAAATTCATAAGAATCGTTTTCCATTTTAAAATTCTGATAGTTACAGGTAAACAGAAATTTCTGAAATATAATTCACGGTTGAAAAACATTATCATGTAAAATGAAACAGCAGGTTAATTGGATCTTCCGAAAAGTCATCGGAAACGTGGAGAAAACTGTTAAAAAGTGAAGATAATAAAATGCAATATCGAAGACCTAAAATGTTGTAGCTTTCTTTTGATACAATTAAAGTATTAATAATATAAAAACTGTAACGTAGTCCAAAAATAAAATTTTCTCCTTGAACGTTTACTCAAGGAACGAATCAGGAAATTTTCTCAAGAAAGAAATATCATACCTCAATCCTAACATGGTTTAAGATCCCACCACTCCACTCAGACCGCCCTCACTTCACTTCACACCACTGCTGTTACAGCAGTAAATTTAAAACAATTCTGCTCATCCGTTCTTCTCGATGTTCAAAAATCTTTTGGTCAAGTCTGACGTGCCGAACTAATCAAAAAACTCATAAATATATGTCTCCCCCTAAACATCACCAAGCTCATTTACATATATCTCTCAGAACAGAACCATCACAGTCAAAGTGATCAGTGCCCTGTCCGATCCATTCACCCATCAAGCAGGAATACCGCAGGGCTCAGTCCTAGCCTCTCTCCTATACATCATCTACACTTACGACCTTTCCCTCCCAAACAACTCATCGTCACACTATCTTCAATATGTCGATGATACTGTTCTGTTTCTGGTAGCCCAGAATTCAAACCAACTAGAAACTCGAACCCAAAATCTGTTAACCCAGTATACTCGTTGGTGTAGCAGATGGAGGGTCTAACTGAACCCTCAAAAATCCCAATTCATTATATCCAAATTCTCCAAAACTCTTAAACACAAACCTAGATCTCCTAGGAATCAGGCTCGCTAAGCAGACTGAAGTTAATTGTTAGTGAGGTTTAACTACACCCTTAACTATAGTCCTCTGACATCCTACACGCACTTGACAAGATGCGTAAGCGAGCCGGACTCGTCGGAGCTTTATGTAGTCGCTTTAGCTGGTGTAACCCAGAAGGCCTCATCCACACCTATAACGTTTATATTCGTCCCGTTGCTAAATACAGGGCGGTACCATACAGCAAACTACCCCTACGCCTAGTTCACAGACTCACCACACTAGAAAGTCGTATTCTCCGACGATTCCAATACCTACCTACCTCTACGAACAAACAAACAACACCCCCATATTAAACCATTTCCAACTCCTCAGGAAAGAGTACGTCTCTCGAACCATGAATGGCTCAAACTCCCTTAAAACCTCCTGGTGGCCTCACAGACTTCCAAATAGAGAACTGCATCAACCAAATATGAGACTCCTTGCCAATACCCAAACATTGGACCTCCCAGTTCCCACTGAATTTATTTTAAAGTAAATGGCTTCATTTTTATTTACTAAAATTCTTGGGAGCGGAAGGTCGTGGTAAAAAACAGTGGGAGATAAACGGTTATGCTATTAAGGGATTATTATGTTTGTTAATTAATTTTTATAATTTTTTATGGCACACGGAAAAAAATGTGACTAGAAAATTTTACTATAATGTTGTAGTAGTAGACTTGTAGAAAAATACTTAACAATTTGTAGAAAATTTTACTACAATTTATAGTTAAAAACTATTCATTATTGTAGCAATTGAATTGTCGAATAAAATGCTACAACAATAGGAAAGAATTCCACAATGTTTAGTATATTTTACTATTGTTTGTAGAAGTAGAAATTTTTTACAATTATCGTAATTACTACTACTAACTTCTGAAAAAATTTGTACAAAAATTAATAATTATCTCTACAAAAAATAGTAATTTTTTTCTACAAAAAATAGTAATAATTTACATCCCTTCTTATGAAAAATATTCAATTTTGTTCAAAAATATTCTATAATATTGTAGAAATTCTAAGTCACAAAACAGAGTTCTGCTATTGGCCAACGTTTTCTGACGTCGATCATAAATGGCCAGACAGCAGTAGCCGTTCGCCATGTTCACATAACAAAGCATGGTACATATACGAGTACCTATAACACATTATTATATTATAAGCACCGATGCGTTTGAGAAAATTTTAATAATAAATTCTATTGATGGTAAGTACATTTATTATTGTTTCTGAATAATTTACCTTTAGATAACTAATTTAAATAACCTTAGTAGATTATTTTAAAAAAAATAGTTGTTGCCAACGATCGAATGTTGTGCCCAACGATCGAATTTTGTGTCAAATTCAATGATGTTTTTTGTCTTAATTGCGACATACCTACTTTCTCATTTTTGTTAGTTAGTCATTTAATATCCAAATCAGTGTAAAGGTGATAAATATCCCCGTTTTAAGGGTATGAACAGTTCAAATTTTTATTTCTTATTTTTCAGGTGCAGAAAAGCCAACTGAGACTGAGGGTGCTATTATTACTGTTATTTATTACATAATGTAATTAAGACTTTGTATCTTTTATATTAAAACAATAAATTTAATATTTTATTAAGGAACATTTTTTTCTAGGTTATAATTATAATAATTATGGAATACTACTACAAGTTTTATTAAAAATTACTACAATTTGTATGAATTTTTACTATTTATTGTGTAAAATTTTCGTATTTATTTTCATAAAAAGCAATACATTTTTAATATAAATTCATACAATGAATAGCAAAAATTATAACAATTTGTAGAACAATTCTTATGATGTATTTGGATATTTTTACTAAATATTGTAGATAATAACTCTACAATACATTCTCCACAAATATTTGTAAATTTTTACTACAAATTGTCCCTGTCCCTATATGTACTATTTATTGTAGAGAAAAAATCTATAATTGTAGAAATTTGTTCTACAATTTTTTTTTCGTGCATTGGTGAATGATGAATGTTCCTTCAATCCTCTAGGATCCTTTGGCTGAGTGCTCTCTTTATTCCTCAATACAGTATATTGATAACAGTATTTAAAGACCTATAAGTTATTACACTGGTTCTTTATCCTACTTATTGTTATATTTTATTTTATTTTTTTATTTTAAATTATATATATATATATAGTCTCATTGAGTGGAGTAATCTGGTGTAGTAAAATATATAAAACATGTTATTAAGAGTAAATAATATATAAGTAAATTTAATATTAAGAAAACTATAACTTACTCTAATATAAGCGGCATGATCTTCAACAAAAGTTTTATCGGTGTATACTTTTTTTAAGAGATTTCCAGCAATTGTTCTGTTCTCTGGAGACATATGAATATATGGGGATATCAATAAACTCGGATCGTTATCCATTTTAGCCAGTGCTGTGCTATCTATCTTTTTAACTGGAATTATACAAATTAAAAAAATTATAAAACAGTTAAGCTGGATTTATAAACTTCATATAGTTTGCATTCAATTCACGTTCAGTTCAAATTCAACATAAACAAAGCAGAACGTGCATAGTAATTGATTATAACCTCGTTCGCACTCAGTTCGAGTTCAGTTGACGCTGAGAGATGATCAACTTTTATGTTCGCCGTTGCCAATGAACACTACGAAAGTCGATACAATGAAAAACACGTATCTGGTTATTTGAAAACGCATGCGTCAACACGATCCTAAAATGTCATGGTAGGTTTGTTTTGGATACGAAATTGTAACGGATTTGTAATTACTTTATAACCAACATAATTAAAACAAAATAACAACGAAATATAATTTATTTTGTGGAATTTCTGGTTAATGTCTTGTCAAATCAAATGTCAAAGTTCGCAGCGACGAACGAAAGACCAACGACTTTATAAATTGGGTCCAGCACGAACTCACCAACTCGAACTGAGTGTAAACCAAACGCCAACTTAACGTAGTTTATAAATCCAGCAACGAACAGCAGAACTTGGATTCGAATCTGCTGGCGGGCCCGATCTTTGTTATAAAAGTTTGTAGTCTATAAATATAATAACTATCTTTTGAAACGCAAATAGGCAAATACTAGTTTTAATTAAATGATTACAATCAAACCAATAATATACAAAAATTCATTTATAATTACCAGATGTAATTCTCTCTTCAGAATTAATTCCAATCATCACAGGTATTTTTTTGAAATTCTTATCCATATATGCCTGAAGTGCCAAGTAAGAAAAATCTCCTTCTTTTTCGGTAACAGTACCCATAATAAGTTTTGCCTGTAAAATCCAATATACATCATTACGGTAAGCTATATTTTACAAAATGTCAATAATTTATGGGGTCTTTCAGAATTTACTCAAATTTAGAGCGTCAAAGTAAGTTTCTTACGGACCCCAAATTTGCATCTCTACAGTGTGACGTATTAGAATGCATAATTCTGTAAAATACAAACTAAAAATTTGATAAATTCACTTACATTGTATAGATCTTCGGTTGATGCCTTTTGTAGAACTTCTAATAAGTCATGTGAATCATTTGAAGAAAAGGAACTGTCTACTTTTCGACCAAGAGCAAATGCATTTTCTCTTGCATTAAGTTGGAATACTCCCCCAAGTTGCGAACTGCTTTCCATTATAGCACCGTGGAAGAGAGCTATCAACAGATAACAAAGTTGAAGTATTAAATGTTTTATACATTTTCTAGACTACAAGATATTTTTAATATCAGTTTTGTCACAACACATCAATATCATTGTGAGAAACAATCCCTATAAAAGATCTCGCTAATTTTGATATTTTGATGTTGTAGTTTTCAAGTCACAAGATGTTGCATGTGCAAGTTTTAATCGGTTTCTAGAGATATGATTTTAGGAAAATTATAAAAATGGCTGTTTTTCTAAAAAGTGTCCCATAAAAAGTATCCCATTTTAGAAAATCAGTATTAAAATAATCATTGCTGGTTTAAAGGAAGTCAGGTGGCATGTCAGTCAGTCTTTAAGACAAAAGAAGTCGCCTATTATACAGGTTGGGTCAAAAATATCGAAATTTACCATATTTCTTTTTTATGAACTAATGTAAACAGAATTTGTTTTTATGAGAATTAATATAATTTGGATGAAAAATAAAATAACCGTTTTTCAGATGGTAAATCTGCCATTTTGGTACTAAATGGAGTTATAACCGTCTGGAATGAATACAAACCAGGCCAAATTAGGCTAGTATTTGACGCTGCAACAAAATCGCACGGTTGCTGCATAAACAACTTCCTGTTTCAAGGCCCAGATTACCAGATTATGTGCCTTCACTAATGGCGGTAATATGGTGTTTTCGTCAGGGTATAATTGCGATTAGTGAAGATATAAAAGAAAGATTTCACCAAGTGGACAGGTGCAGTCAACGTTTCTTTTGGCATGGAGGAAATAAAAATCAAGTACCCGATGTTTACCACATAAACTTCATGATTTTTGGGGCTATATCCTCTCTTTCCAAAACACAGTTCGTGAAAAAAAAAATGCTGAGAGATTTCAAGCTGATTTTCCTAATATTTTAATTATTAATATTATTAAGCAAAATTATGTTGATGACTACTTGGACTCATGCAATTCCGAAGCAGAAGCGATCAAACAGGTCCAGCAAGTTATTTATGTCCATTAAACAAAGTGCATTTAAAATGAAAAAATGGATAAGTAATTCACCTGCAGTAATATCATCAATTCCAGAAGATCTTCGTGGTAATATGTGGAGTATGATTATAGACAAAGATAAAATTAAACAAATTTTTTTGCTTATTCTGGTCCCCTGGTACAGATGAGTTTGTTTTCACCTTAAATTTTAAGAAAATCCCCAAAGATCTGATTTGATTGCTCAAAGATTCCAAGTAAACGTGAAGTTTTGAGAATTGTGATGTTCGTCTTTGATCCCGTAGGATTTCTAGCTCCGCTGATGGTAAAAGCGAGGATATTAATGCAGATTATATGGAGATATAATGGGATGCAGACGTTCCAGACAGCCTCTTTCCAACTTGAAAGCAGTGGCTAAATGATCTACGTTCCGTATCACCAATTAAAATAAATAGATGTTATTTTCCTAGATAGCCACCTAAAATAGAGAAGATCTACATGTCTTTTTAGATGCAAGCGACAAAGTTAACTCTGCTCTTGCACACATAATATTTGTACCAAATCTAAAACTTCATGGGGCAGTTCTAGCATGCAGATTATCCAAAACAGTTTGTAGTGAGCTAGAATACAAAGGTAAGTTAGTTCACTTTTGAACAGATTCCTTAGTTGTATTAAAACAGATTAGATCCGAGAGTAGATCTGGTAAGGTAGCTTTAGGCGAAAATCCTGGTGACGTCATCAGTAGAAAGCAGTGGCGGTTTGCTGAAATTTTAGCAAATGCCTACTGGAAGAGATGGATATTGGAGTTTCGTCCAACTCTGGTTAATCATCAGAAGTGGTGTTCCAAATCAAGGAACTTAAAAGAAGGCACCGAGAAATGAATGGTTGATGGGCAGAATACTAGAGACATGGTAAAGATGGTGTCGTATGAGTTGTTTTACTTTCAACCAAGAAAGCCATCTATAAGCGACCAGTCTCAAAATTGTGTCTGCCACGGATAGTGAAGAATGCAAGTCTTCACGGGGTGGAGGATATTAAGTTGTATACACTTGTTATTTAGTAGTTGTTGTTGTTGTTGTTGTTACCTTGTATATAGATTTAGAGAAAAAATATTATATGTCAGTTAATAACAGACAAGTTAGTATTTCCTGTACGGCCAGATTATTTCCCGTACAATCCGCGTTTCAGAAAGAAGTGTTACGTAGTATATGCTATTTACACTGACGTTATATTTTTCAATTATTTTGTCGGTCTTATTATTATTTTGACATATTCTTGTCATTTGTCACTGACATTTGCTATTTTTGTCAAAATGTCTTTTGAAGAGCACAACTTTTTAAATCAATTTTTTTTTAACTTCTAACTGAGGATAACAATCTTACCAGCTGACAACGCTAGGCTTACAAACACGAGGAGAAAAGTCCTTAAAATTGGTTTTTGCATTTTAAATCACTTCTAATGTTGATTTATTGGTTTTTACGATGGAGGTTCATTAATTTTTAATTATCCTGACTGTTTTCGAAATCTGTTTTTGACAAATTTTTAAATGCTCTTGACTTGCTTAATTTTGTTAGCTTGGCCAATATTAAAAATAGGATTATATTTATATAATTCCAATCTCTAAATACAAAAAATTCTTGTTTTATTTATTTTTTCATTTGTTTAGAATGACTTATTACCTGAATGATTGTGTGATTTGAGAAATAACTCAACCATATTTTACACTTACGTATTCCGTCACTCCATGGACCCATTAGAAGCATATTCACGCCCATTGATCCACAACTTTCACCTGCAATAATTACTTGATTGGGATTTCCTCCGAATCGACGAATATTTTTTTGTACCCATTTCAGTGCAAATTGAACGTCGATCATACCAAGATTTCCGGGAATAACACCATCTTCAGTACTGAGGAATCCTATAATACAGGGTGTTTCATAATTAACGTACAGAATTCCACAAAGCGAACAAATTGTTCTAGTAATTTTTTTATAAACTCAAAAATTTAGAGATTATCATCTTGTCATACAAATTAAAAACAAAACTGTAACATATTTACCAAAGGCATTAAGACGATAGTTCGTGGAAACAACTATTATATCCTGACCCATTAGATATTTTGGACCATAATCATCATAGGTACCAGATCCCCAGTTGAATCCTCCTCCGTGTATCCAGAACAAAATTGGTAAAGAATTATCACTCCCAGGAACCTGAATTTAATCAAATGAATATATAGGGTGAACTTTTAGGTTTTTTATTATTTAATATTTCCAAAACAAAAGTGAGACTATATGTAATAGACTGATATTGGAAAATAGGTTATAAAGAATTACAAAGAATAAAGAACAGTGGCAAGAAAATCTAAGTGAAATCGATTAAAATTTATAATGACCAAAACTAAATTAACGAAAATCTTGTAATGTGCTCGGGTAAATATTGGGATTGTGGAGAATAACTATTATCAAATAAAGGATGTGCTTTATCAAACTTCCTTCTGCTCTATCTTCAATAGGTGTTGGTATTATGTTGGTCATAAGCTAAAAGAACGTGCCAGGTGATGGCTAACTAATTTCCAAAACAAATCCTATTGCGAAGAACCTTATGTTTCAAAATCCATATCATTGTTATCCTCAAAATCTGTATTATTAATATGCTTGTGCTTGCAAAAAATTTAATAACAAACAGAAGAAAATTTGCGAACCGAGAAGAACGTAGGAGAGACTTCATTTATAAAAAATAGACTGTAAAATCGCACTATTTGTTAAATTGTTTACGTCATTTTTTTAAACATTTTGTATTTCAGAAGACAATCCCCCTGAAAGGTAATCTTTTTTTTGCAAAAATTGCAGAACACCCTTAAATTTTTACCACGAGCCGCCATTGAGTCTAACATTCGCTTATATGCTAAAAGTAAGGTAATTCCGCATTTGCTGGGATGAAGATTCGAAAGAAGACGTCAATTTCAAAACAATAATTATAATTAATTGTAACAAAAGTGGTTAAATTCTTGTTAAATTGTAAAGGAGATGAAACTGTTTATGCTACCTTTCATTAATAATTGAATCGTTTATTTCAGAAACCACCTAAGTGCGCTTTCTTCAACATTCGGAAAACTTAAAAAAAAACTGTTTTGTAGCTTAAGTATAGGTCTAGTCTCCTTCAAATATTTTTTTACCAAATCAAGAACATGCTATTGGAATATTCTATTTTGTTAATTTTTTTTTCCTTCAAGTTTTTAAGTTATAAATTTTTGAAAATTTTTGACTTAGGTGCTTTCTGCAATAAATTAGTGTAATCCAAAATGATTTTTTAAAAATTAATATTGAAATTAAGTCAAACGATTAATTTTTACCTGTTTTGGTATCAAAGGTACAGAAACAGTTAAGTATAAACAAGAGTGTTTTTATTAGGCGTTAAACGGAAAATACTCGTATAAGTAGACTACACGCTACAGTATGTCTATATTATACAAAAGATCTGGTCTATTCAGCTTCTGGCATGTCTTCTGGCAATTCGTGATCAGTTGTTGGCCATTGGATCATGGTGTCGTAAAAAGGCTTCATATCCAACAGTGTATTCCATCAACTTTTTAATATCATCATTCTTTTTTTGGTTGATTGGGACCTAAAAACAAAAATCTCACTGTGCAAAACCCGATAAATTTTAAAATTTGTTAGGTATGTCCTACAAAAATGTTTAGCTAAAAGTAAAAATATAAACGTTTAAAATGACCTTGGTAAAATAAAAGTAAACATACCTTGCCCAAAGGATAAGCTTTCTCTGTTGATAGTTCCGGAGGGTTGACAGTTTTTAACAATGTGAAGGTAGACGTTGCTATTCCTCCAATGTATTCGCCTGCGACCAATTTTCCCGGAGTATCCTTGTTGTAGAGAAACTGCTTGTACTTGGACACTTTGAATGGCTGCTTATTTTCTTTGGGTACGTTCCTGCCTGAAGTTTCGTCCGAATTTGTCATTTTCTTATATGATTTGGGCCACCACTTTTTAAAACTGAGAACATCGTCTGATGTGAGGTGATATACAGTAAATCGGCCACACTTACTAGATTTTAGAATAAGCTCTGCATATTCATCAGGAGTATAAATCCTGTCCGTCTTTCTCAACAGACGCTTTATGCTTCCAAAATCTCTGTCACATGGGGAAAATGAGTGGCCACGTACAGGGAAGTTGTGAGTTATTGTTTCAAACCGTCCTGAGTCACAGAGGTTTAATAAAAAACGCACAACTGTATGATTCTTATTTTGGCCTGATGGGCCATCACAAAACAGTATAAGATGCTTCACATTAACTGGAATGTCATTGAAATACTTCAGTAGCATTGAACATACTTCATCTGGGCCTTTGTTTGCTTCGCCCTCATGATAGACATACAGTTTGGAAGAATTAGTTTTCAAATCGTGTAACGAAAACACATTTACCCAGAGCTGACTCATATAAAAAACCTCCTGTACAGGTATGTGTGGCAACGGTAAGTCGAAGGCAAGTGCGACCGTGTCGTCATCTTTGTTTTTGCTTGCCTCGTCCATAGCTTTGTAAAACTTCTTTTCTCGCCTTGAGTGTACCATTTTTTCAGCAGCTACATTTCTTTTGGCATTGTCACTTAAACCCTTGTCTTTCAGTTTGGCCGACAGTCTTTCACAAGTTGAACACACATCAACTTGTGGCCTTCCAAAACAGTAGGCAAAGTTCTCTTTGTAGTATTTGTTGTAGAAACTATACTTTACTTTATTTTTTGGATCAGGGTTGTCTAAAATAAACATTGCATGCATTTCCTTCATAAAGGGTTTCTTTGACATCAAATTTCTCAATGTGCTGCTGTATTCTCACACAAACGTTACCAGGAAGTGCGTTTCCACTTCTAGATTTTCCCCTCATATCTAAAGGACTGTTGTGAAGGACAGAACATTTATTTATTCTTTTGACTTTATTGTCAGAAATTTGAAACCCTTTCAAGAAAACACTTCTACAAACTTGAATAAGAGCACCATTTACTTTCAAGTTATACTTGTATGAATGGGATTTTCGGTTTGCCAAGTCACCAGTAGGCACGTTAGGGTTTTCTTGAGCTTGCTCATTATTTTCATAAGGGCTGCGGTTTTTGCGTCTACGTTTCACAGGCATAACCTACATTAAAGCTTGGAGGTACGTGTCTTGGGTGTTTTTACTGTCCAAAGAGTAAAATGTTTCCCATTGTTCTCGTATTATTTCATCCGTAAGTTTCAAATAACATTTCAAAGGACACTTACAGTTTACATTATTCAGCGGAGCTTTGATGGAAACTTCTTTTCCTTTGTACGAGACGTACTGCAATCCTTAGAGCCGAGCATTCCGAATAATGATCCGTTGGTATTTTTCTTCGTGCACAACTCCACGCCTACGCTTGGTATTAGGTTCTTCATCCGAACTATCAGACATGGCTTAAGAACTATAATAATGTATGAAAAACCACAAAATAACACCTTATTTTTCATCAAAAACGCACGAAAAACAATATTATCCACTCAGTGTTTGGATGTCGGTAAGCTTCGATACAAACTGCAAACAAAACAGCGAGCCACGGAACACGTGTCGTCAAGGCCGCCAAAAACTTGCGCCAACCATCGCGAGTGAAATATACCACAGAAAGAACCTATGCGACGGCGCTTGGGTTCTTTCTGAAATAAACGGATTCTTTTCAAGGCTGCCAAATAGCATTGGTGATATGGAACATAGGTTATTTCTTCACTAAACGATGTATTCACCTCCAAAGTAACCAGTACCAACAAAACACTTTTGGAATTTTTGTCGCTTAGGTGGTTTCTGAAATAAACGATTCAATTATAACCCAGTAATTTGTTGAAATTGTAAATAGTCCTAGGTTCATGTCAACATTACTTTTGGCCAATTGATCTGAGACCAAAATCATTAAATAAAACACACATACTCACCTATACTATAAAACTTACTACTATTGTCCAAGAAAAATATTTATGCTAAGCCACTACTACAAGTTTCTTACACTAAAGGTAATCAATCAACTTCAAACAGGGGTCCAAAAAAACAGCAGTAAATAGCACATCTCTTTAATAATATTGCAATCAAAATTAACTTACCACTGGAGTATATACATTTAAATATAAACAATCTTCAGTTTTATTAAGTGTAAACTTAGTGCCCTGATAGCAGACTTTTGTATTTTTTGTTGTCTTTAAAATACCGTCCCAGCTATCGGGTTCTTGAGGTAGCTGAAAAAACAACAAAATTATTTATTGGGAAGTATATATTGGGTATTTAATTTATTAGTTGATTTCTCAACCCTTAATTACTATCTATACTGATATAGAATAAATAAAGTAATGAAAATACAGCAGGTTTTCTCAACCTGGCTTACGCAAAAAAAATAATCGTAGAACTCCCCCTAGTGACTAATTTTTCTTTATTCATGTTTACGGACAATTGGACACCTAGTAAACTGAAACTAGAACAACAAAGTAAGATTCTGTGAGGAGTAGTACTCCATAATTCAAAGGAGCTGTACTTAAGGGCAAACCAAATAGAAGAAGGCGATTTACCTAAGTTGAAGCCATTCCAAATTCTACATTTTCTTGAGAAGATTTTATTACCATATTAAAAAATCAAATAAGAATTTAGAAATATTTAAATATAAAGGCCGTCCCAAACTCTATTTTTTTATGATAATTGTTATACCAGTAGTTACAGCGTGTCTAATAAAGGTAGTTTTTAGGGGGTACACAACCATTTAAATTTTCATAAAAAAACCTAATATTTTTCCTATTTTAATAAGTAAAACTTTAGGATTCCGTTTTCCCTAAAAAATTATATTTTTAAATAAGTATTTGATTTAATTGCTATGTCGCTTGTTGTAAAAACCGATACTTAAACTACTTTATAGTATTTCAATAATTGTATATTGGCCAAATTATTCTACAATAAAGAATTTGTTAGGAAAAGTTTTGATAAAGTTTCATAATGATGTGATTAAATTTAAAGTAATGATGCCTTCAAATACAGCGAAAGTTACGTAGTTTAAATGTACTATTAAATTGATGAGCTACGCAAACTTTGTTATACGTTAATTAAATGCCTGTAATACATATAATGAGGAGATCATAGCGGTAAAAATCACTTTGGATTTTTAAAGAAATTATTATAACAGAGTGGTAAATTTAGCATCTCCTTTTACTGCTGTTTACCAAGAGTTGTTTGAAAACTGTCACTAGTCGTTATTGACTGTAATCATGGTTATTCTAGAAAAAGTTTAAAAATTTGGAAAACCTAAGGAAAACAAGAAAATGAAGTCGTTCTGCCAACCTCAATGACACAGGTTCGACAAAATCCAAACCCAGGCTCAACTATACAAGAAAAGGACTTCCGCTCGATTGAAGTTCTCCATACTGAAACCCAAGAAACATCAGCGCTTTAAAAATAAAACAAAGCTCGTATCAAGTGAATTCGACAAAAAGATAGCCAAAGGAGTTTCGCATAATTAAAGTTCTCCATATTCAAACCCTAAAAGCGTCGACGCTTTAAAATCAAATCGAAGGTCGGATCAAGCGAATTCGACAACCAGACAACCAAAGGACTTCGGCTTGATTGAAATTCTCCAAACACAAATCAAGAACTCCAGAGATAATGACGTTCCAAAAAATCGACCTTCAAACACTTCTCCAGCTCAAAAAAATATATCAGATACTAGGATAGAATTACTGTCACGTAAAGAAATTTCCTACGTCTTCAGTTATATGGACACAGCTGCACATTTCCAACACATGGCTATTTTCACGGATAGATGTAACATGCAGTGGTATTAAAAAAAAGCGTTTTATTGGACATTATTTATAAAACTGTCAGAATATTGTGTAATTAACACAAACCGAAACATCTTACAACCAAAGCGTTTGGCTGCAGCTTCAGTTTTATCGATCTATTTCAAATTGACATTAACAACTTCAGTCAACTTTCACCAAAAGATATACACACAACAACCGCAAAAGAATATGTCTTTAAATTTACGGATAACTCAAATTTTACAATTTCAGAAGAAAATTCCGTTCAAGATGAGCTGCATAAGAATATCTGAAAGCAAATTAAGAACTACAACTATATATCGAATTCCGTTATAGTTGCTATTGTTACCTACACAAATTGTTCCATGAAGACGTCGCTTTTGGCAGGAAGCGCTCGATACTGCTTCAAGCGATTATAGACTCCATCTCACTGAGATATATCTTCTATAAGACATATAAAGTTAGAACAAATAGAAGAGCCGTAAGTGGCAGGTACGATTTATATTTACAACGACGGTTCTAAAACAAAACAAGGCTCACGATGTGGAATATACTCCAGATTCTTAAACCTAAACATAAAAGGGACTGTGAGCTATACTGCCAGTGTAGTTTAAACAGAACTAAAGGGGATTCTTATAGCAGCAAGAGAAATCACCAGAAACAATATCACTGGAAGGAACATGTTCATCTATCTGATAGCAGATATCAGACAAGCACTACTCACCCTGAACAGACCAAAAATTTACTCAGGGTTATGTCACGAAGCTTTGGCCGAAGTATCCATTAACAATGTGGTCACCTTAGGATGGATCCAAGATCACGCCATATCAAAAGGTAACCGTCTTGCTGATTCACTATCCAAGAAAGCAGCCAACCAAATACTTTTTGGACCTTTCTATTGGCCTGACAAAATCGGTAGTGACAGACCTAATTAAAAAACATTCCCTTGTAAAATTCAAGGAAAGAAACTGCACAGTTACCAGGGAGCTCTTAAGTTATCCTGACAACACTGCAGCAAACAAATACTTGACTATGGCTAGACAGAGTCTGCGCCTAGTCACAGGCATTCTGACTGGTTATTGCCAAGTACGGAAGCATCTCCATATCGTGAGGCTGTCAGAATCCGCACTCTGCAGAGGGTACGATCAATAAGATGAGACCATCGAGCATATCCTTTACGATTGCTCGTCACTTTCATTTATTAGTAGATTTGTATTCGCTACCACCGGCCGATATAAGAGAAGCACCTCTTGGCGGCGTTGTTAACTACATTTAATCTGTAGGCTGGCTCACGAGCTAGGAGTTGCCTATCATCTTGAGACGATGCACAATGGGCCTAATGAGGCCTTAGTGCTGTGGGGGTAATCTACCCTCCACATGTTATAGATACAGATGGGTACTCTACTAAAAGATCTACCACCATCTCTGCACTGGTCTACCAGCATCGTCAAACCATGCTGACATGGTTGAACTTCGGTCACTAGCATCAGTCAGGAACTAAAGTCCTGGTTACTCAAGTTGAGAGTCGTTAATAGGCTCAGATTTAAAAATTTTCATTATAGATATTAAAATAACATTCTGTACATGAAATTAATTATTTATTAAATTAAAATGTTTACTTTTATATGTAGTAATATAAACTTGTTTCAAAACAGTGAACTGCAAATCGAAAGTAGAATAATATTTTTTTCTAATGTATATTTAAAAATTATATAATCCTAATTGTTATTTTAAATTGTTTTGTTTTATAGTATTATAAAATTAGGTGAAAATTAGAAATAAAGAGATTCATGAAAGCCACCTACAACTTTAATACAAGAATCTTATAAAATACTTAGGTAATTTAGAAGATCCCGTATGCTATCTTATCTCTAGGAAAATATCACAAGTTAGCCTAACGATTTATCACACTCTTTCACATTAGCACTAACATTATTTTTTTTTATTTCGGTGTATGCCTTCTCTTACTTTACTCTTAACATTCTTCCCATCAAAGGTACCATTTGGGAATGCGAGACCGAGGCACGAGACAGAGGCAAGCGACTGTGCACGACAAATGAAAATGGTTTCTTTACGTCTGAATCACAGGTAATTAAATGAAACACATTTGGAATTGTCGCTTGCATTGGTCTCGTATATCAGATTCTACCTTAAATATGATTGAAGATTGTCAAAAGATTGTCTAGGGAGCAGTCTACAGTCGCTCTTGTCGGATGTTATTCGGTCTTTCAAAGATCTTAATGTTTGGCCAACATAAGGTTTATATCAAGATATTTGAAATACCGAATAGCATCCAACAAGAGCAACTGTAGACTGCACCCTGAAAGATGTTCGTTGGCTGAACATGTCCACAAAAACGATCATCTCATGAATTATGAAAACACAACAAGCCTATATCTCAAAAAGACAATTTCTCAAAATGGCACATATACATACTATATCATATACTCGTAGGTAAAAATATTAATTTAGAAAGTTCAGCAACTTCAGATAATTAATGATACGAAACATGACGTCACTATCACTTAACAATTTGCCTTTTTTAATTAAAACATTTTTTTGCTCTTTTTACAATTTTTATATAAAATAATTTTTTCCTAAAAATTTAATTTCTTAGTCAGTTGTTCACCAAAAAAAAAAAACAACGAAACGAAGAAAAGTAGAAGTGCGAGTGGCTAAGTGGTTTTTCTTCTTTTCCGTTTTGACAAGTGATGACACACGTGGTCGAATTTAAGGTTAACAAATATCCAGTGATTATGTAAAAATGTCTTTTATTAAACGTTAAACTTTTTTATGCATTACATACAAATTATATATCAATTTGTTTGTCAGTCTACCAAATGTTGAAAGCTTTACTGCAAAAACTGTAGAGATAGCTGTACCACAAGGCTTAATCCTTGGGCTTATATTATTTTTGTTTTACATTAATGTCTTACCGCAGCTTGTTTTTAAGCAAATAATATCGGTTTTTATGCAGAAAATACTACCCTAGTTAAATTAATTTAGTATATCTAACACCAAATTTCTATTAGTATGTTTAGAAATAAACTATTAAATATGTTGACTTACTCTGTATCTGTTTTTTCCAATCGGAGGTGAAGCAAAAGGTATTTCCTGGAATGCGTAATAATCATGTCCGTTTGCACTTTTTAATATGTGACCCTGAATTTTTCCAGTGTGTATTTCAACTATTGTACCATCATCACACTAAAATCAAGCAAGTTAAAACCACTAAACGAAAATGTGCAAATTAATAATATTTTCATTATTAATGTTTCCACCTATCAGTCAATAAACAATTCTTTAATAACACATATCTCATTATTATTTGTTTACATAGAATAAAAGGAAATTGCTATTAGCAGTATGCCAATAAAAATTATACTCACGTTTACCAAAGCTCCTGTCAAAAAAATTACCCACAAAAGAAAATTCATTGCTCCAATAGATTGGTGATACTGTGATAGAATAATAAATGAGTTTAAACTGGCAAGTTAATTAATTCCATAATCAATATTATTTTATCTATCTACTTCATATTAAGTGGCTAATTTTATCTGTACCTACTTTATTTTTAGTAGGTATGTTCGATTATACCAGGCCTTTTATTATGTTGCTGGTTCTTCGATTTTGTAAAGGATATCGTCCGAAAACTCTAAGAATATACCAAGAAATATTTTCTAATTATAAATTATAAAATATTTGCATGAATTGAAAGTCTTCGTGAAAATGGAATTTGTATAAATGGAACGATATTTTCAAAAGTGGCGTAGCTCAGTGCTACACTTTCGATGCAAAGCAGGAAGATCTATATGGAGTTAAGTTTAGTGAAATGTATGCGCTTTGAGAAACAATTACTTTGCTTACCCTACAATACATTGACACAAATCATAAAAATACGTATAAATAATCGATCAAACGAACTTACCTTAAGTGAAGTTCGATCGTAATTAGATGAAATGTCCAGTCCGAATATATTACGTAGTCCGCTCCTGGCTACTTTGCGGGCACCATGTTTGTAGGTAAGGGGTGAGATTACAGAACGTCTGCAACTTTGCAGATCTGCAAATATGGCGGCAACTTTGAAAATCTGCAAATATGACTGACTTACACATGCAAGAATCAAGTTTTCGTATTCCAAATTTGGGTTTAGTGTTGTTGGGGGTAATAAACCACAATAAATATTGCGAATTTGCAGATATTTTTTGGAATACTTGCATTTGTAAGTCCGCCATATTTGCAGATCTGCAAAGTTGCAGACGGTCTGTAATCTCACCCAAGAAAGGCAAAAATGCCCTTTCCCCACGTCGACTCGTGTGTTCTGCGGTATATCGGTACTCTGCTGTTCATTCTTCAAAGTATTTGTTCATTACCCATTTACCCGCAACCATGAGGGGTTTACTAAAGCGATGGGTGCGAAGATAATATTATTCAGACTGAACGTTTTGATCGATTAATTATATTCGCGTCCAGTCCGAATATATTATCTTGATTAACCACTACGTAGTTGTTCAAAGAATCTATGGTTGCAAGTAATGAACAGAAGGAAACAACAATGGTGGGACATTAAATATTTTTAACCACCAAATATAGTTTTACAACTTCAAACTAATAAACACAACTGAATATGAAAACGAAAATTTAAAACATATACCTACTAATTACTACAGAGTAAACAAATAACTCAGTTTGTGGAAACGGACATGTTTAGAACCGATTTAGCAAAAACAGTTTTATCAATAAGGGATTATAAAATTTTGCGAATGTAGCTGTTCGGTCTGACCACTCTGCTGACCTACAGATTGTTTCCAAAGGGACTCCCTGTCTCAAATCAGCAGATGTCGACTAATGTCGCGTAGAATGAGGCTTACATACTGATGTAACCAGAGGGGATATCGCGCATGGTGTCATGGCGGCGCTGACGTCATGCGTAGAGTTAGTAGAGTTGGCGCGAAATAAATATCATATGACATATGACAGTTTGGGAGTCGTTTATAGTGATTTATAAGGTATTAAACAGATATTTGTATTATATTATATTGTAAACTTTGTTCTCTCTGAGTGGTTTTAGTGAAAAACTTTGAAAAATTGCGGTAGGAATGTAACAGTAACAATTGAAGCAAAAGATTAAAGAAAAATGTTATGGTTTTTCGCTTTCTTCAACAGTAAGAGCACAGTCAGAAGTGAGGAGTGGCCCAAGGGCGGCTCCAGCGGAGGCTCAGGGGAGTATGCCGTTCCCTAGATTAAAATTCTTAAAATCCATGAGTCTTTTATTAAAAAAAAAATGCTAAATAGGCAATTCTACCCTCCTTCCCAAGAAAATTCGATACGGAGCAGCCCTTGCAGTGGCTTCTGCAAATAAATTTTCATATGTATTCCAAGCACTTTCAACCTTCCAATTATAAGAGGAACCTCCAATCAGAATTTCACATTGGTTCAATCGCAACTTGGGACTTCTAAACTGGAAACTCTACCCTTTTAAGGCTAAAAATTTCGAAATTGTAAATGTCGCAAAAAAGACAATTTCGACTTGTACTTAATGAATGAATTAAAAAAACTGTCAGTGACTTTGTCCAGGAAAATTGCAGTGACATTTTATTTTAATTTTGTATATGCACCCACAATATGTTATGTAGCTGTTATTTGTATTTTGTACATTTTTTATGCTTTGTATTATATGAATGTCTACATTATATTATATGAAAAAAAACATATTTTTTAAAACTTATTTTTATTCAAGTTTCAAGTTGCGAAGATACCCTTTTCATTATCCTGGTTATATAACCTATTCTTTAGAAGTTGAATTTGTACAACCATAATAAATCATTAAAAAAGAAAAAGGAAAAAACTGTTCAAATAAATACTTCTTTTATGTATGTATTTGCATTTATGTTCCTTCATAGTTCTTTCCTTAACTATCCTATAATAATATACATAGATATTTCATGTAATTTCTAAAATATTATCCTTAATATTCATGAAATTTCTGTAAGTAGCATATATTTTTCTCACACTTCGTCAGTATTTTTAAATTCGCGCCTATACAAACTCTACGCATGACGTTATGCGCGTGGCCGTCCTATTTTTGACACTGTTGATATCCTACCTTTTATTTTTTATACCATGGATGTAAAAACTCCTGCCAACGAAAGCATTTGTTTCACCCACCTACTTATGGTTTGTTTATTGACAATCAAATGGGGTTTTTTAACACCAAGTAAAATTAGGTCTTGATCGGGAGCTCTAAATTGTCTGGTTTTCTCAATGTATGTATTTAATGTCGTTGCAACACAAAGGAATGGTTTTTCCCTGAAGAAAGGTATGTGTAAAGTAGGCTATTCTTTACTCAGCCCTAAAGTTTTAATCGGATCTGTTATGTCAATTTGAATCTTGTCTTGATCTTCTTTTATATTAGATAACGTAATAAGGGAAATAGTCTGGAGCATACCACCTGTGATGAGTGCTAAAAGGGTTACTAATTTTTGTGAAAGTTTCAAAAGACTTAAGTTAGCAGGCAAGTTTTCCAAATAAGTGAATAACTGTCGGGAATCCCATGTATGAGAAAATCTCGGTTGTGCTGGTCTTAAACGTGACATACCTTTCATAAACCTCTGTACTATCATATCTGATGCAAGATCGTTAGATAGGATAAGGTTCAGAGCTCATATATGTGAATTTAATGCCCCGTACTTATAGTTATGCTCTTATGCAACTTTAACTAAAAAGATAAGATTATCCCTGTTTGTTGCTTCATAAATCGGAATCTTTTCTTTTATGCAAAAGTTCCACCATAGGCGATAAGTAGTGTTGTATTGTATAATAGTAGCGGGTGTTATTGATACGATTAAAGTATCTATTGCTTCATCCGGAACACTTTTTCTTATAAAGAAATTCCAGAGAGTCTGGCGGCCACCAGGGTAAGCTGATGAGCTAGAGGGTGCATTTTCCCAGGAGAGATTAACAAATTAGGAGATGGGTTTAAATATATCTCTTTTCCAATTATTAACTTGGAAAACAGCGGGTACCAGGGCTGAGAAATCCAATAAGGTACCACTAGAATGCCCTCAGCTTTATCTTGGATTATTTTTTGTAAAACTCTTAAAATTAAATTGAATGGAGGAAATGCATAAAAGTTTAAATACCCCCAATTCAACGTAAATGCGTCCACAACAAAAGATCCTGGATCCCTGTGCCAAGATACGTATTTTTCACACTTTATGTTAATTTGTGAGGTAAAGAGATCCACTTCAGGGTAACCAAAATATTGTATTATTAATTGAAAAGCCGCCATTGATAATGACCATTCGGTTTCAGTACTAATTTGTCGTGACTCGCTATCTGCTTCGTAGTTATCTTTAGAACTTATATAGGAACCAAATATCCAAATATTTCTACGTTCACACCACTGCCATATCTCCATTGTCAATGAGTTAAGTTGTGGATATTGGATGCTACCCATCCGATTTATATATGATATTGCAGTGGTGTTATCACATCTCAAAATGACCATAGAAAATGGCTCTTAATTCTAAAAAAAATATATGAAAGTTTCTCTCCGAGTCACTCCAAAATCCGTGAGTTTTTCTGTGCCACAACAAGCCTGTCAAGGAGGTGTCAGTAAGTATTTCTCCCAATATCATTTGATGATTTTAAAATGTTTTGTTCCCTCCAAGATAATTCTCTATTTAAATATATGGCAATAGACATGGTATCATCAAAATTCACATTGTTTTGATGAAGCGCTAAAAACTTTTCTCGTTCTAACGATTTTGTATACAACCAGCCGTATTTTACGGCTGGGCAAGCTGAAACTAAAGTTCCAATAAACTTTGCGAATTCACGTATTTTACAATTAGATTTATTTTTAAAATATAAAGACCACTTTCTTATGTTTTCTTTCTTTTCTGTTGGTAATTTAATCTCCATTGTATTAGAATAAAATATGAATCATAAAAATAATTTGGACATACTAGGAATTAAACAACTTTTTTTTTCTGTTTATTGTGAAACCCAGTGACTCTAAGAGCTATACGAGTCTATATTTTTTGAGCAAGGGTTAAAGGATTCACCAAAGACGAGAAAATCGTCTAAATAATTGACGCATAAAACACCCTTTTGGCTTAGGTAACTATCGGTTTCATTAATTTAGTGAAGCAAAATAGTGCTGATGAAAGCTCAAAAAGAATGCAAGTAAACTAATAAAGTATGTTCTTAAATTTGAACCTCAAATATTTGCGAAAATCTGAATGAACAAAGACTGAAAAATAGGCGTCTTTTAAATCTACTGACGTCATAAATGATCCTGGACCTAATAGTCTTATTACCGTCCTAAAATCTTCCATTTTGAAGTGAGGTGTATTAACATATTTATTAAGGTTCTTAAGGTTAAGGATAAACCTTTTCTTACCATTTGATTTGTCTGCTAAAAATACTGAAGAAACAAAATGATCATCAGTTGGCTTGTATTTCTCGATGTCAAAAGTTCTACAATGGCTTGAAATACTAAATCAGCTCAAATGTAGTGCAACCCTAACTAACGTAAGATGTGGTGCTCACAAAAAATTGTTTTTTGAATGAAGTTGTGCAGTATTTAAATTTAAAAAATATATAAACTACCAGGTATTTATGCTACTGCTCTTTTCTTATTAATATGGTAGAATAATAAGTATATCATTCTTTATTTGAGACACTGTGCACTGCAATACACAAAATTTGTGTTACGCTTGTTTCAACATCTTAATAAGATTGTTTAGTCTATGCTATGTACTTGGGTTTATTATTTGGATTATAAAAATTATGGCCCTTTTTTTCAGAATGTCACTGCTATAATGATGATAAAGGTGATAGCAGTTTTAATTCCGATGCTGTAGTAGAAACATATATCTTGGTATCTATCTACAAAGTCCTGAATGTGAACCGGCTACTTATGGGACACTTAATAACATTTAGGGAGAAGAAGATAATATAGATCTTATCTTGCTAGTGGTACGAAAATCAGAAGAAGAAAACAATATAACAATAAACCGGCAAGAAATTAAGAAACTGAGAATTTTGAACCAAATTATGATTATAAAACAGAAATTGAAGAAACTTTTGGGTAGAAAAACATCTACCTACTAGAATTTTTTGCCAAGCTCTTGTAAACTGGAGGCTCCTTAACAGTTTTCTAAAAAAATGTTTACTGACTGTATTCTGAAGAAAATTATTACTAAAAATAATTTTATTTTACCAAAAAATGCAAAAAAAATATGTATTGAGGAGAATATTGTATATCATGTATATCATCTATAATAAATGTACCTACTGTACGAATGTTGTAGAATCCTGTAACAGGAAACAAGATCTTTCGAGAATCAATATCAGGGATTAAATTGTAATATGTTACAGAGCCTATTCAGTGTTTAAATTCGGACATATATACGTATTTAAACATAACTTACCGATAATGAACAAGCTCTACCAAAAATTATAAAAATCTATTACGGCCTATTCATTTTATACGCAAAATAATATATTTTTTTTAACTTTTAAGCTTTGAACCAGACAGTTTTGAATATACTTAAGTTGGGTTAAATCATCCTATTCTTATCCCAGAAGTCTATAGTTAAGTTAAATGTTGAGACATAATATTTTAGAGACAATTAATCCTTCAGTATCAAAGCGAGATATTTAATACTTATCTTTGCACCCAGCAGTTATTTTGTGATTCTATAAATAATTTCTATTTCGTAAATAGGTATTTGGAGATGAATTAAACTCAAATAAATGATTGGGTTTGATTATTATTAAAAGTCAATAGTGCCTTTATTAAATTAGTGTTTATTAAAACTACAGAATTTGAAAACTAGATAGTTAAAATTTAACCAAACTGAGCGAACGGCTCCTCCATGTACTTCTCAATGATAGGTTTAACATATCTGTATACTCTTGGGTTTGATCGAACTTCAAGTGTCGAATTTATATTTAAATATGTCAAATTTTCTGGATTTGATTTTGGCCATACGATATTTTCTAAAAGTGGATCTGGACTAGGTGTAGGATTTCTAAAAAAAAATAATAATAATTAGCGTTATTTTTAAAAACTTTAATTAATTATTTAGTTAACACCGATATTAAATTAAAAGGAATAAAGCTCAGACATGACCCAATTAAAAATAACACAAAGGATGAAAATGTTAGAAGGTTAATCTTTAATTCGAGTAGTCAAAAAGTCAATATTATTAAAAATGTTTTTTTTTATTTATTTATTTATTTATTTATTTATTTGCTGAAAAAACTCATGAAGGATCCTAAAAAACACGAAAGAACCATAGCAAAGTAGTAGGTATTAATTAGACAACACTTTAGAAGGTGCTGAAAAAGCAAAACGTAGTAAAACAGAAACAATCTAAAAAAAAATTGAGGATCTTTCTGATAGAGTAAAATTTAAAATTTGTGATACCATTTAGAGTGGTGTTTTGTTTGTATATTTAGATGAGAACTAGATATTTTTCCAAAAAAATCTATAAAAAAGGAACTGGCAGGATACAAATATAACCTAAACATTGGGAGAATGGCTGCAGACCAGTATTCTAACCTGTTTATCTTGGAATATTACTTCCACCATGTTTCTTATGATCCTTCAATTCAGCTGGTTGCTCTCTATCTTTGGCATGGCTAGTTTCTGTACATTGGACAGTATGCACTATTTGTTACCATTTTTTAAATAAAAACGCTTGCTTATTTTTTACTTACAATATTCACTAATTTGCGGATATTCCTTTTACTAATATCATGAATGCGACTGCAAAAAAAAATAAAAAGGCAAGGAATTTATTTTTACTCACATTTTTGTAAGTCAAATCTTAAATGCCTCTAGCCAAATAAAAACATTAAATATAAAGACGTACTTTTTGAAGCACCCTGTATTCTTTATCGAAAATTTGAATATAGATAAAAAATATTGAGTTTTATCTTGTTTCTAATTATTAGATTAATGCTTCCAAAAATAATTGAGTAAATAATATCATAAGTATTTACATTAGGATTACCACACGATTTGTATTTGATTGAACAAAATAACATTAAATAAATCAGTCATTTGTTTTTAATATTAACCTGTATTTATTAAAAAATATTTCATAACATTACATTTTTTTTATAATTTTGTTATCATAAAATATAACATCTCATGTTGAGATAAGTTTTCATAATGGAGAAGTTTTTCCCTGTCAAATTAAAGATTAAAACAGAATAATGTTAAGGGGAAAGAAAGAAAAAATATAGATTACTGAGAATAACCCTGAAATATCACACAATATCAAATACTTACAAATATTTAATAAAGTTGGTCCACAACGTCAAAAACCGCTTCATCATAAATTGATCATTTTTAGGAAACTTGGATAAATCCTCGTTATTTCTAAATTGCCACCAATAGTGTAAGTCTTCCATATGAGCAACTCGTTCAGCACCTTCAAAAAAAAATATCTTTGCTTAGTTTGTTTTAATTTAATTTGTTCCTTTATCAAATGGCCACTCTTTGGCTATGGCTTCATAAAAGAAGTACCGTGCAAAAATAATACCTAAATTTTATCAAAATGCCTTAAGATCATTTGTAAATAGATTGTAGATAGATCAGGCAGTTAGAGGCTTCGATTTTGAACACTTATTTCAAAAGATTTGTGTATTTCGACTAATATAAAGTAGTTATTTTTTATTAAATAAATGTTTATTTTCCATTTTATTATAAACTCAAAGATCCTCTCAAACCCTTAATTGATACATTCAGAAAAAAACAGATGCACCAAAAAAAAATTCATTTAAAATTTTATCCAATGACGTCATATCTTGATAAATATGACAGATGATGAAATTCTCCAAGCGACATTAAATATTGCATATATTATACAAACAATTTTTATTTGATTTAATTTTTAATACAATCCATAATTGGACTCAACCCTGTAAAGCCTATTAAAACAATGTAACTTAAATATTGTTCTTTTTTTTGTTTCTACCAATTTTTTTTATTATCACCTGTGTTTACATTTCAATCATTATTGAAGTTGTCTGCTACAATACGACTTGATGATAACATCCCATTGTCAATGAACATGTTAATTTTGTTTCTAAACTTTTATTTTATAAAAAATGCCTACTTTGTATTCATTTTAAAATAATATTTTACATACCAGGCACAATGTATTTATCATCCATCATTCCACCTAATTCCCCTTTATAAGAAAATTGGTATACGTAATATGGTGCAATAACAGATCCTAGTTCGATTTGTTTTCCCGTTGGAGTGCCAAATGGTTGATCGCTGCTCCACTGTAACAAGAGAAATCCGAAATAAAATATATATACGTGTATATCATTTTTTAAAAACGCGAAAAGAATGAGTTAGTTGTTTTTCAAATGGAAATGTAAAGATTTATTAGAATTTTATGCACCAGGTATGTGAGTTTCCAATATAAAGCGCTACATAATTTTAATACAAAATTTTATGTATTCAATATTATATCCTTTAAGAATCACATTTTTAGAACAACGTTTGTTCATAAAGCAATTGTAAGTCCTCTAAAAAATATTTGTTTTGTTCTGCAAACTAATCCTAAATGACTTCATCTTTGTCAAAAATCTTTTTATATTTAAATAATATACATTGCTTCTGCTATATGCTCCAATTTGTTGATCTGCTACAATTCTACAATAGACAGAATCAATGTTTTTCGAATTAGTTACATAAATTGTCATTACTCTTTTAAATTTTTATTGGTGGTATGTGAAGGACACTGACTGACTTAAATCATATCAGCAAAAAAGGCTTTACCCATTAGTACTTTTTAAAACATAAACACTTAATAAGTGTTCAAAACCTACATTTTTAAAATCTAGATTTAGCTTAGAGATTTATACTATCATCGTTCAACTTATGACTCTTAAATTCTGCCATCCTATTTATAGTACATAACAGTTTTAATTAGATTAATCATAGTAACCGTAGTAATTATAGTCACCATAGTAACCATAATAACCATATTAACCATAGTAACTATAGTAACCATAGTAACCACAGTAACTATACTAACCATTCTAACCATACTAATCATTGAAACCATAGTAATCGTTGTAACCATAGTTACAACAATAATAGTATTAACCATAGTAATTTAAGTAACTAGAGTAATCATAGTAAATATAGTAACGATGGTCACCAATATGACCATAGTAACCAATATGACGATAGTAACCAATATGACCATATTAAACATCGTACCAATAGTACCCATAACAACCATTTTTTAAGTCCTTCTGGACCCTGTTCTATTATCCTATGGCTAATTGTACCACCAATTCAAGGTCTTACTATTTTCCCGTTGACTCACTTATTCACTGTCATTCATTCCACGTCGTCGATGATTAAACGCTATTTGGCCAAGTCCTACGGTGAAACGTCCAATCTGTGAGTAACCATAGTATTCATAGTATTTACAGTAACCATAGTAACCATAATTACCATTTTTTTTTTTAGTATTTATTGTATCAACTGTGATATTGTATCTTTTATTATTGTCTTGTCTTGTATTATTGTCGTACATTGTTCTTAAATGATTTGTTTAAATATTGTATAGAGTTACACAGTTCTTAACCTAATTTAAAACTAAAAAATAATAAAAATTAAACTTACTCTTATATAAGCTGCGAAATCCTCTACAAATGACGTATTAGTATATACCTTTTTAAATAATTTGCCAGCTATCGTTCTATTTTTAGGTGACATGTTTACATTGGGGTGGATTAGTTGACTAGGATCACTATCTATGCCTTCTAGTAATTCTTTGTTATCACGATTGGTAGCTTAAAGTTAATTAAAAAAATATTGGTTATTAAATTACAAAATTAAAAAGGTATGTGAGCATTGTTCCCAAAATCGAACCATGCGCAACACCACTGATGTATATATAGAAAATGCACCCTGTTGCGTATCCTTGTACAAAGTTTACATTCATATAGGAAGTTCTGGATCATTGATTACAGAAATGGGGTAATGAATAGAATTGGAACTTGTTTTTTTAAAGGACCTGTCACATCCAAAATTTTGTTTTTGAAAATTTCTAAGTCAAGGATGACATTTTTTGTAAATAGTGGTTTCTATTAGACAAAATTCGCTAGGTGTTTAGAAGAGTTGATGTTCCATCGTAAAGGATTCCTGTATTTTTTTGGAAAGATGTTAGCCATTTTAAAGGAATGTTCTTCTATTTCTCCATGTTGATTAATTTGGATGTTCATTCTCTTTGGGAAATCACTAAGAGATTAAAAAGACTGATTCTATAAAATACACCAATACAATTCAAAACATAGATGACAGTTTGAAAAAAAGGTAATTTACAAAAAACAATAGATTTGTTGAAGATGAGAACATAATTGCATGGGAACATTTTATTTAAGAAAAGTAAATGAAATCTGACTCACAATCTAACTCTAAAAGAAGTAGCCACTAAAACAAAAGAAAATACGAGTAGTAACCCGAAAAAAGTCAAGATTTGAATTAATTACCAGTAGAAAACTAAAATAACTCAGTAAGAAAGCCATAGTTAAGTTGGCCTCTTTTTAGTGGCTCCATCAAAATAAATTATATAGTGACCGAGGTAATAATGATACCTAAACCACGCAAATCACCTTTTCTAAAGAAATTAAATCGCATGATAGAAGAAAAAAATTAATTCCGATGCCACAGTTTGGCTTTAGAGCGAAATATTCGACCATTAACCAACCAAGTTCGCTAAATAACCAACATTATTAAAAAATCACTAAAAGAAGAAAATTTTCCATTTATATCTGTTTATAATTAGCACAAGCTTTTGACTTATTTTGGCATGCGAAACTTAAATATTAATTGAACATATCATTGCCCAGAAAATATACACCATTATTGAAATCATACATTACAAATAGATCATTTAGAATAAAACAGAAAAAGGTTTATTCAGAAACAAATCAAAGCAGGAGTACCACAATGAAGTTTACTAAGATTTGTATCTACTACACACCAGTGGCATTCCTAAAATAGAAAATAATACAACCATCTTTGCAAATGACACTACTATCAATAAAATTACTTAATTATCTCAATTGCTCGTATCAAACGTTATTTAATTATAAAACAAAGTGATGCAGCAGATAATTTTGATTTTATAAATATAGACTTTCTATTATATTTGTAGAGATGCTTTTTATTTTTATTATTCGTTGTTTAGATCTATAGATCTACAGAATTGATAATTATTTTGGTCAAAATGTTAATGTTACCAATCGTTAACAAAAAACAACTACAATTTTAAAATATAATTAATTAAACTTACTCTGATGTAAGCTCCAAAATCATCAACAAATGACGTGTTAGTATAAACTTCTTTCATTAATTTTCCTGCTATAATCCTTTTTTCTGGACCCATATTAACATTTAAATGTATTAAAAGATCAGGATTGTTGTCTATCATTTTCCGTATACCAGTATTTCGATTTTTAGCTTAAACAATTAAAAACTTTTTGTTATAATATCTTAAAGTTTATAGAATTTAAAAACTATAGATATATTTTAAGTTTCGAATAATCTAAGATTTTTTTGTATGTACCTTGCATGATTACTACTATTACAAGTAATGAAATATAAACGATACAAATATATTTTCCTACGACCATTTAGAAAAGTGGCACATGTCACATTATATAGTCCTATGGAAAGTGCCCTATATCACATGCATATGAATAAGAATTTACTTTCCACTCGTGTACGAATATGTTACTTTCCGCAGCAGCTGTCACAAAATGTCAAACACATCATTTCTATGTTGATCTATGTAATGTCCATATTAATACTAAAATCGATATGATTGTTAAATTGTTGAAATTGTTGTTAATTAGATCCTAGATATTTATCTTTAACAATTATTATTAAAATAATTTTAAAATAACTAAGTTATGTTTGCTTTTTATTCTGGTTAAACACATAACCGATTAGATCATTCAATTGATGCAAGGCCTATTAGCTCACGTAGTAGAGTATCAAACTTTATCAACCTTGCCATTTGTAAAAAATTCTTAAAATATTGAATGCGACTGTAGACCTACTATTATTTAGTTACATTCTAATAATCTTCTCAAATCGAAAATTATGTGTTGTGCATTTCAAATATTATGTTATAAGAAATTTAATTATATTTAAAATTCCATGGTTCATTTTACAATTAATAAAATTTGTGTTTTGTTTTTAAACCATCATGTTTCAATCTCTTATAAAATCGGTGCATTTTAAAAGGTATGTTTATAATTTTTTTTTATATTTTTAGGTATACCTCTCCTTTAAGTTTGTTGCACCGAATAAAGGTGTTATAATAATTTTTTTCTACGACCACTTAGGAAAGTCCTATGGAAAAAGCCATTTATCACACGCGTATGAATAAGAATTTACTTTCCACCCGTGTACGAATATGCTACTTTCCGCAGCAGCTGTCACATCATTTCTATTTTGATCTATGCAATGTCCATAATATTAATAAAATGATTGTTAAATTATTAAAATTGTTGTAAATTAGATCCTAGATATTTATCTTTAACAATTATTATTAAAATAATTTTAAAATAACTAAGTTATGTTTGCTTTTTATTCTGGTTAAACACATAACCGATTAGATCATTCAATTCACACAAGGCCTATTAGCTCAGATGGTTACAGTGTCCAACTTATCAACTTTGCCATTTGAGACCTGGCGAGCGACCGCGTTCAAATCCTGGCGGGGCCAGACATTTTTTTTGTTTTTTTTTATTTTTTTTTGTTTTTTAATTTTTTTGTTTAGAAAATATGAAAATTGAATAAATATGATTATTGTTAATTATTTTTTTAAATACATTTTAATTATTATAATAATAACCTGGTTTTACATTTTTGATGAAATTATTTTGTGGTCGTAGGAAAAATATTGTACATCACTTGGGTGAAAAGTGATTTTCCATATTCGTATGATAGTCGCACTCGGCTTGTGCCTCGTACGATAATATTTCCCACTCGTGTGAAAACTGTCACTTTCCACACTCGTAATGTAATATACTATATCATAAAAATGGAATTTTGTATTAATTACATCTTTTTTTATTTTATTATAGTTAACGATTGGTCAACATTTATTTAAAATTTAAAGATATTTTATATTGATATTAAATCTAAAAAAAATGTATATCTTACCTAAAGTGATATATTCTTCTGAATTCCATCCGATCAACATAGGCACTTTTTTAATATTGCCATCCATGAAAGTTTGTAAAGGTAAAAGAGAGAAGTGGCCAGATTTTTCTATAACATTCTGTAATTTGATACCAGCTACAGCCTAAAAAAATATAAACATTTAAATAATTTTTGGTTGTTCTTAGATCAAGTTTAATAATTTATTTCTTATGACAATTGTTATCATCCATCAACCTAATCCATTTCCCTGGAGACTGCTACAAGACATCCTCTTAGAGGATAATCTATTACAATAATATACTATCCTGTAACATCAACTGATTTTTAAATCAAAATAATACATGCATTAAAAAAAGTCTGTAGGAAAACAATTTTTGAACAAATTACCTTTAACAGATCTTCAGGCTCAGCTTTTTGTACCAGTTCCAAAATATCCTCAGATTTCTCCGATGTAAAGGTTGGATCTAAATGTTTTACTATAGTCATTATATTTTCCTTTGGAGTCCATTGAATGGTACCACCGATCATCGTACCACTTTCTTGTATTGCACCATGAAATAGCTCTAAAATTTTTAATATATTGTTTTGGAGGTAAACAAATTGTTTAAATTTTAGAAAAATGTTTATTTCAAAGTTGATGATAGTTTTCGAATATATGCCTATTCAGCTTTCATACTTCATTTCTTCTAATCTTGTTATATCAGAGTCAGGTTATTAAAATCCTATTTAAATAGGGAATTTGTGATTTTATATATAAATACCCAGATCGTTTCCCTTCTTATCTGTCAATTTTTTTAAATATTAAGCCAACAACTGAGTCCTATTTTTCTAGGTTTAAAGAGTAATACATTTTACTGTCGTACCTGGTTCTCCTTGCCAATCTCCCATGACTAAAAGACCTACAAGTGCTGATCCAGAACTTTCTCCAGCAATAACAACATGATCTGGATTTCCACCAAACAGAGCAATATGTTTCTTAACCCATTTCAAAGCTAGTCTAGTATCCTTTAATCCCAAGTTAGCAGGAATAACATCGTCATCAATTGAGGCCCATCCTGAAATTATATTAATACTATTAAATAAATCCTCTATTAATATTTTTTTGTATTTTAAATTCTTGGCTGTTCCTGTATTTACTTGATAAAAATCTATGATTATTACTGGGAGAAAAACCAAAAGTTATTTTATTTAATCCAAGATTAAGATGTTTTGAACTTCTTTAGATGTGACGAATTTATATTACGCTGTTAATAATTTTCTTTTATTTAATTTTAAGGAAAATTCGGCTAAACATGCAGTGTTGTCACGTGTAAGGCAAGACATTTATATTGTTTTTTTTATCGTTATGGTTATATTGTGAGAAGTCCTTCTGACTTCCCTGCTTTTTAAATAAATCTTTAATTATATGTATGACTTTTATTCGTGTGAAAGTTGAGAAGAAGTAACATCCCTCAACATTTATATACAGTCCACTTACTTTCCAACCTCTCCAATACAGGTTTTCTTATAATTCCAAGCTATGTGAGGTATTAATTATAAAAGCATTTCATTAGCAAATTCACTTTGCAGTTGTTGCAAAAGGTTTTGTCACAGAGTTAATAGGATCGATGAACGTTTGTTTCAAACGGAGCAGAGTAAGGTTGAGTGGAAATTAATGCACATCCTGTCAATAATTTAGTTCACACAAGAATATACAGGGTGTTAAAAAAAAGTGTCACAAAATAAAACGGGGGGTAGTATGGGCCAAAATATGCAGAAAAATCTTAATAAACATATGTCCGCAAATGAATGGTTTCAGAGATACGGAGTGTTTTGTGTTTTGTATCATTTTTTGATTATCTTTTTTCATTCTCAAAAACTTGCTTTTCTTATCGGAGTCTACCGATGTTTTTTCATAGATACTATTTGCAGTTATTATTTTGTTGTGGGTGAATAATTTTATAAATTTTCGTTATGCCTGTTTACACTAATATTGAATTAGCTGACATGCATTTTATGTACGGTCATGCAAATGGCAATGCGAGGGAAGCGCTACGTCAGTATTTGAACATCTCATTTAACTCTATGTTGTTACTGATTGTTTATAAATATCATTGTTTTTTTATAATAATAAAAAATTGTTATAAACACAAAATGGTCCGTATCTCCGAAACCGTTAATTTGCGGTCATATATTTATTAAGACTTTTCTGCTTATTTTGGGTCATACTATTCACCATTTCATTTTGTGACACTTTTTTTTCAACACCCTGTATGAAACACTTCGAATTCTATCAATGTTATGTGAGCCATTAAGAGCAATCAAAGCGCCAACGTTTCGCAGTATAATAGAAAATGCATTCAAAAGCTTATTAAAAATTTATGAATTTAATATAGAAGGTTTTTACAAAAGTAGGTACTGCAATCACACTATTCCTAACGAATCTACACTAAGAAAAAATGTATATGCGTTATATACAAATATAATAGAAAAAAATAGAAGTTTTACTGCAAGATAGCAATTTTTATATAATTGTTAATGAAAACACAGATCTTTTTGGTCGATTATTATATCGTAAATCTTATGATTGGACCTTAAAAAAAGTTTATCCACGAAAATCATATTTAGTCGATTTAAAAGAGAAAAATCTAACAGTGTGGTCGTAACCCGATTTATTCACAATCTCTATCAGAATTATTTTTACAAGTTCAGTTCATGCAAAGAAGTTATTAGGGTTTCTGTCTGACGCAGCACTGTATACAGTACGTTAACCGAACGCATCAAGAGAAATAAAGATTATACGCCTAATTATATTTGGACGTGAGCGGAATAGTGAGTAATAATTGGTTTATCTACCTCGCCCTTGCGATGGCAAGCATGGGATATTGAGGTTCGTACCCAGCGACGCATTTATTCTATTTTGTGTATTTAATTGTATTGTATTTCTATACCGTTCTTCTGGAGACAGGATTAGAAAGTTAACGCATATAAAACATGTATAAATCAATATTATTTTATCTAAATGAGGCACATGTTATTTGCCTTTTGCATGAAATAAACCTAGTCTCAAAAACTATCATACACTGATAAATATGGTAATTTCAAGTTAAAAAATTGTATATTGTGCAACAAGTGACACGAGTGAACGCAAGTGCCACAATCACACGACCACAAGACTAAAACCCAAATTACACATTTTTAAAACTAATTTGATGAACTTTATTAACGATTTAAAATTAGAAACATTAGGATGGTGGTAAATATGAATTATCGTTATCACTTTGTAAATTTGTGACAAATTTTTTTTTTAATCTAAATTTAATTTAATTTTTAAAATTCACTTATTTTTACTTTCCTATCTGTATACAGATATAAGGAAAGTATAGGAATCATGATTTTTTTCGACCTCGAGTTTTCGACGGATTTTTACGTTTTGAGGTCCCCTGAATCCGTTTTGACTATTTTCGCGATGATGTCTGTGTGTGTGTGTGTGTGTGTGTGTGTGTGTGTCTGTGTGTGTCTGTGTGTGTGTGTGTCTGTATAACGCATAACTCATGAACCGATACACGGAAAAACACCAAATTTCAAACTTAAGCTTTTTTCCAGCGTCTAATGAGCTGATTAGATTTTGGGCAGAGTCGGAACATCTGGGGGGGTACTTTATGGGTGGTCATTTTTATATTTTATAGAATATATCTGTTATTTACGTTTGGAGAAGAAAATTCTTCAAATAAAAGTTATTTATAATATAATTATCTATAATTTTTGTTCTATACAAAATTTTCCTAAAATGGTCCGTATTCGAGAAATTTGACAAAATGTAAAAAACATATTTTTTCATAAAAATTGTTCAAATAAAAGTTGTTTGTAATATAATTCTCTATAATTTTTATTCTATACATAATTTCTCTAAAATGGACGGTATTTGAGATATTTGAGAAAATGTGTAAATTTCGAATTTTGAAGAAAACTCAAAAACGGATAAAGAAAAAAACATTAAATTTTAAACTTAAGGTTTATTTCGGCCTGACGTGAAATGATTAGATTTTAGACATAGTCGGAACATCTGGGGGGGGTACTTTATGGGAGGCCACTTTTATATTTTATGGAATATATCTGTTATTAATGTTTGGAGAAAAAAATTGTTCAAATAAAAGTTACTTCTAATAATATTATCTATAATTTTTGTTTTATGTAAAAATTTCCTGAAATGGTCCGTATTCGAGAAATTTGACAAAATGTGCAAAATTCTGAATTTTATGAAAGTTTTTGAAATAAAAGTTGTTTGCGATATCGATCTCTATAATTTTTGTTTATACATGATTTTTCTAAAATGGACCGTAATGAAAAAATTGTAGGAAATTTTAATTTTTCAGTATTTTCGTTTTCCATGAATATCTATAGAAAAATGTTTCGAGGTAGATGTATGTGGACAATGTATATATTTAGTTTATCCTCTAAACATTTATAGAGATGCTGCAATAGGTTGTACAAAATAACCGGAAAAAGCCTATAATAACTAGATAGGAAAGTCATGTGTTGGACACATCAGATTTTTTTGTTATATATACCTATCTTACATTAGGAATTTGTAGCATACCTAAGCTACAATCTCTTTAAAGGCAACAGTTACAATCAGTCACAGTCACAATTTAAAAATGTAATATATCAGTTTACCAAATGCATTTAATCGGTAATTTATGGCTACAACAACGAGTCCGTAGTCCATAATGTATTTTGGGCCATAATCATTATACGTTCCAGATCCCCAGTTCAATCCTCCACCATGTATCCAAAACAAAACAGGTAAACGGTTTTGGGTTCCAGGTTTCTGAAAAATATACGTTATTATCTAGGTTTCATAATAAATCTAATATTAAACAGAAATTCTCGATGCGGGACCTTTAAATTTAAAAATTAAGAGCTCCGGTTTTCACAGGCGTTTTTTTTTGTAGGTACCCTGAAGTTATTTTAATGCGAAGTTTCAGAAAAAAAATAGGCGATTTTTTGAACCAGCCTAATGTATATGCAACTAACAATACAAGAAAGTAATATACAATAACTCGTTCATGTTACGCGATCTCGCTCTGCTCGTCCCGAAAATATTTACTCGTTACATAAAATAAGGCATTTCGTAACTGGTTTCGTAAATAGCTATTACATCAGTAGTTTGATTATAATACTCACCACGGGAGAATAAACATTTAAATATAAACAATCTTCCGTTTTATTAATGGAGTACTTGTTCTTTTGCATACAAACTTTTGTATTTTTCGTTGTGTCTAAAATACCATCCCAAGGTTCAGGCTCTTTGGGAAGCTAAAAATAAGAAATAGAGGTAAGTAATCTGTATATTTACCTCCTATAATATTCACAAAACATTTAGAAACATTCTGTATAAAAATATCTCACAAAAATTTCCTATGATTGCTAATTTAGGGAATCAAGACCACATTTCAATTTGATTACCGTCTAAAAATTGGTATATTGGGATTCAGAGAGGTAATTGTTTAAAATTACCTCAGACATAGCTTTGATTAAGAATAGTCATCTTACCTGTAATCTATTTTTTCCAACGGGTGGTGTGGCATAGGGAATTTCTTGAAAGCCATAATATTCACGCCCTTCGTAACTTTGTAGAACATGTCCTCTTATTTTCCCAGGAGTTAACTGTACTATGAGCTCTTCATCCTTTAAAATTAAAAGTGAAATAATGTATTTCAGATAACGGGTGTTTAAAAATCGTAGAATTTCTTATAGAGTTTGTTGGTTTATATGATCGAAGGCTCTAGAGTCTAGATAGTCATTTGAAATAGGGATAACCATTTTTATCGAGTGAAGAAATTATATCATCAGTGACAGCAGCCATGGATGTTGCACATCTATAACCAGGATCGACAAGAGGGGGGGGGTAACCGAGACTAATTCCGGGGGCCCGAGCTCAAGTGGGGGCCCGGCAGAGGTACAAGGGGGGTCGGGCAACTTTGGCGAGGAAGAGGGGGGAAGTTTTTACTTGAACACCTTTTTTTAGAGAAATTCAAGTAAAGACGAGGAGAAGTTAATTTTTTATAAAATTGTCGCGGGGGCCCTAACTAGAACCAGCTCTAAATCTAGACTGATGAAATTTTGAACCAAACTTACAAATGCTAAAATTATTTTAAATAACAAAAAAATATTTATACAATTAACATCAAATAAAGTTTAATAATAGTTTAAGAAATATTCAGTTTTCCTTTCTCAAGTCTACTTACAAGTTTCGCCAGAGAAATTTGTAAAATCACAATATTTATCAAAATACTTTGCCAAAACATGATACAACCGTAAACATTCAGGTACAAAGTATACTTAAATATACATAGAAACATTATTTTTTAACAGCTTAAATAATATTTTAAAATTTCAAGTACTTTTAGCACTTGATTTTAGATAACAGATATACGTATATGTATATAATAACAAGATTCATATTAAAATTAATCAAATTCTATTTTAATTATTGTTTTTATCAAAAAGAGATTAAAGTGATATCACGAGCGTCAGGAAGAGTAGTATTTGAAGATAATATCTTGAGTGTTATTATTGGTATATTCTAATTATACTAATAGCTAGAGTGTTATTCGTCAAGATTGTACAAGGTTTTTCTAAATTCATACTTAAAAATTCAGGGTGAGATTCCTCATTAAAAGTTATAAGGAGTCGGTCCTATAATATTTTTTTTTTCAGCTCTAACCCCCTAATAGAAAGATATCACCCTCGAAAAGATGTTTTTAATTTTTTCCTCAAATCTGCATTAAAAGGAACATAATACCTTGTTCTCGAGAAAACCAGAATAGCTCAAAATAGGATAAATTGAACATTTTATTTTAAAGTGATTGATTGTATACATTCAGCCAAAGAGAATCTCGCCAAATTTCAACATTGGCTTATTGCAGACGTAAAATTAAATATTATTTAAACAATTTCTACAACTAGACATATAGAAATTAAGAGTAGAAATTTTGAAAAAGGTATTTAATTACCGTGTGCTGATTAAAATGGTGGCAAGAGACCTTTGATATCTACAGGGAGATTCAGAATATCGGACAAAAAATTAAAATTGTCATTTCTTTAAATTCATAAATTTTTTGTCCGATATTTTGAATCTCCCTGTAGATATCAAAGGTTTTTTTAATGAGCACAAAACTCCACAACTTTTGTCTAGTTTAACCAACTTTCTATCTGTTATCGTTTAAGAAATAGCAATGCTGTCCATATGCAATAGTAGGGATAGAGGAAAGAAACCGATTAAAACTTGATATTTTTAAATTAATTAATAAATTAATGAAATTAAATGCAAAATTCAGTTTTCTACGGATTCTACGCTTTCCCAGTATTTAAATTAAATAAAAGTTACTTCGCTACATTCATTTTTCTTCTGTTTCAAAATTAACCGAATGAAAATGTTCAATAGCGCAAATTTTCCGGTAAAGTGAATAAGAAAGCCATTAATGTCCTTGAGACTTCTACATGATGTAAACAAAAAGAAAACGAATGGTATATCAAAATAAACGAAGAACTCGACAAACAAAGGAGTCTTAAATTTCATCACTTAGGGTAGAATGTTGCTGATAATGATGCGCTTGTTTATATGAAACCGGGTCTGAAATTGCCTTCAGTGGAAACCGAAAGCGCCTGAAGGGAAATATTCAGACTCAGAATCACTCAGAATGTGTGAAGCTTTTGCCGGCGATAGAGTGCGTATGGAACGAATTGTCTGTGGTGGAGAAGGTTGCGAAAGGATGATGAACTCGGAAAATTAATTCGTAAGTAATAAAATTTATCTTTGTTACTCCATAAAATATATATAAATAGATTCAAAGTTTAACAGTGATTATTTAAAATTATTGAATTTTTGAATGTTTTATTAAGACGGCAGTTTAGAACAAAGCCCGGAGCACTTGCATTAATATACTAGTTTGTGCAACAAGAGTGGATATGGACAATTCACTCTAGTTGTACATTTTTTCTACGAAAATCTACAAATATTAAAAATTATTTTAGGTTGTTAAAATAAAATAACTAATTTAAAAATAATTTATGACTTTTAATAATTTATATACCTAATAAAATAAACAAAAAAAATAAAAAAAAGATTTAATCCCTTACTGAATGTATTTTGTGTTTTGGTTAATTCAATTAGGGGGCGTCCATTAATTACGTGAGGTATTTTTGAGGATTTTTTGACTCCCCCTCCCCCCCCTGGCGAGATTTGGTAAGATTTTCCTTAACTCCCTCCCCCCCCCTTCCCTAATCTCACGTGAGATTTTTCAAAATTCGTGTTTTGGGTGTAAATGTGTTGGATTATTAAAAAAAACAAAAACACAATATGTTCCATTACTTTTATTTAAGACTAGCAAAGACTAGTGTTTGAGAGTGTTGCAATTATTTAAAATCACATTAATAAAATTAAATGATAAATACTTAAATGGAAATTAATAAAAAATAAATAAACATAATTATAAGATTTTTCCATATTTTATTCTAGAAATACTTTTACTATAATTTAACTTTACTTTCACGCAATTTTACACCGTTTTCTACTAGAAAAAAAATTACGTGAGATTTACGAAAACCCCCCCCTCCCCCCAAGTGAGATTTAGAAAGATTTAGTTTTATCCCCCCCCCCCCCCCCTTGAACACCTCACGTAATTAATGGACGCCCCCTTATCTGTGATGTGTTATGTACGTAGTAGACTATAAAAAATATTTAAAAAAATATAACCTAATTTTTAAGCCAAAAGCTGTCAATATTTTGACACGTGCCAAAAATATAGCATTTTGGCTTGAAGGAAAAAAATAGATAGACTGATATTAAATAATATATATTACAAATCAATAAAAATACATGGAAAATCTTTTAAAGCAATAATGAACTCGTAAATACTATCAAAATTCAAATTATCATTTTCTAAGGACTTCATCCCAATAAATGTGAACCTTAGGTAACGTCTTCTTTCACTATCATTATAGTTATTAGTTTCTTCAATATTATATGCTTCGACTTCTTTACCAGAATTTTCCTCTTCGCTGGTTTCTTCCACTAGAACTCGAGAAAAGGGTAAATGCAATCATCATCGGACAACTATTCATCTTCACTGCCACATATGGAATATCAACAGTTTTAAGACCATAAAACCGTTTCGGTTCAACCTAAAAAAAAAATATATTATCCAGATCCAGATTACTTCAAGTTGGGCCGAATAAAATACTGTTTATGAATAAATAGGTCGCAACTTTTCACTTGCATCTTTGTAGTGGCACAAAAATCTGTTATGTCATACGTTTCACGAGTTTTTTCGTATTCTGTATATAATCTTGGTTATAGATGGTTGAGTAATCTATATAATTATGTTTATCATTGGGTGTCTCAATAAACAGGGTCGACGAGAAAGGGGGGTATCCGGGACTAATTCCCGGGGACCGGGCGCAAGCGGGGGCCCGGCAGCGACATAAGGGGGGCCCGGCCGCTTTAGGTGAGGACTTTTTTTATTTTGTTCAGAAGTTTGCCACAAGACTTTATGTGATATTGACAATTGACAGGGCTTAATTTTTTTTATAAAATTGTCGCGGGGCCTGACCTGGCTCTCGGCGGCCCTGCTCATAAACTTCTAAGGTGGATGAATGACATTTCGACTAACATAAAGCTAACAAGTATTAGAAATTAAAAATTAAAAAAAAAAAACCGACTTCAAAAACGTGCAGATGTCATTACCACATCTTAACCAAATTTATATGGACCACCCTTGAGGTACCCCCTTACTAACAAAAAAAGAATTATATAAATCGGACAAGGTGGTAAATCATATATAAAAAATGAAGAGTTTGAGGATTTTCTCATTAGATTTTGACCAAATTTATATGGGACCACTCCTGAAGTACCCCTTTCCAACAAAAAAAGAATCATTGAAATCGGACACCGTATTAAAGAATTATCGCTGAACATACATAAAAAAAATATATTGCAACGAATTGAGAACCTCCTCCTTTTTTGAAATCGGTTAAAAGAATGAATTTTTCTCAATATTTTTTATTAATTTAAATTTAAATTTAAATATTTTGACATTGGATGATACACTTGCTTTACAATTTATTGCCACTTACCTAGCCATTTAAATCTTTTTGCTCAAAATGTATATACTGATATAAAAACCACCTATATATCAATTTTTTTTTTAATTTTTGCCCAGACTCTCGAAAGGGGTGGTTCGGCTCTAAAAATTGTACAAAATTTATTATTTTTCAAAATTAACACTAAACAAAAAAAAATAAATTTTTAAATTCTTCAGTCTTCTCTTCCCGTTAGCTCCTTATCTCTACTTGTCTTTATTGCCTCTACCTGTCCACTTGTCTCTGTCTATCTGCTAATATCTATCTGTGTGTATCTGTCTTGCCTCTACCTGTTCTTTCTCCTGTCTTGTATGTGTCTCTGCTTCTATCTAAATCTGCTGCTACCAGCCCTGGCTCTGTTAATCCCTGTCTGTCACTGCTTATCTTTGATTTTGTATATTTTTTATTATTTAAATAAATAAAACTTTGTTTACCTTTTTTATTTTATTCATAGTTTCCCAATTAAAATTAACAATATCTCCATCATAAGCAAAAATCCTAACATAATTCAACTCTAACAATTCTTATCTAATACCCCATCTTACAATTTCTGACAATCTCTGACAATTTTATTTTTATCTGACATTTTATTCCAAAATCCACAAAAAAACCGACATTTTGATTTTAACTTAAATATATATTTTACAATTTAACTTGTAAATTCATTTTTTTTGTTGTTTTTCATTCATTATTAGTTACGTATTTAATAGTGGATTCGACTCAAATGCTCTTGCTCGATGACAAAGCGCTTTTAGTTCTGAATTGATTTTGGGTAGCATTTTTATAATTCAAATTTATATCTAGCAGTGTACACAGCAAGCACGAGCTAGAATTCGACATTGGTGTAGCGCATCTTTATCGTTATTTGACTGGCACAGTTAGCCCTTGACATTTCAGGTTTCTAACAAAGTTTTAACGATATTTATTTATAGTTGCCAAACCAAAAATTAAATTTCTATTAATTTCAAAGATTTTCCATTCTCACTAATAATAAAAACAAAGATGGCAATATATTTAAATATATTAAATAATTCCTAACCTCCTAAATTACACTGGCACTGGAAAAAAGTACAGTTCCAAAAAATTCGAACTTTGAGCAAGAACGCCTGCCAGTCGAACAAAAATTTCACTATGCCTTGATACCGAGCAATTTGAGTCGAATGCAATAATTGACTTTTAATTCATTAGGTTTTGTCAGTCGAACA